TGGGGGGTGGTTGAATGGGTGGTAGAAAGAGGGGGTGGGGGTGGTAGTTGCAGGGGTGGGGGTGGTGGTTGTAGGGGTGGGGAGTGGTTGTAGGGGTGGGGTGGTGGTTGTGGGCTGGGGTGGTGGATGGGGGCGTGGTTGGGGGGTGGGGGTGGTGGTTGGGGGTGGGGGGGTGGTTGTACGGGGTGGGGGGTGGTGGTTAGGGGTCAGTGGGTGGTCAGGGGCTGGGGGTGGGGGTGGTGGGGCTGGGGGTGGTGGTTGTGGGGGCTGGGGGTGGTGTTGTGGGGGGGGGTGGTGGTTTTGGGGGGCGGGGGTGGTGTGGCTGGTGGAGGCTGGGGGTGGTGGTTGGGCTGGGGGGAGGTTGGGGCTGGGGGTGGTGGGCTGGGGTGGTGATGTGTGGGTGGTGTTGGGGCTGGGGTGGTAGTTGGTGGTCAGAGTGGGGGGCTGGGGTGGTAGATGTGGGTGGTGGTTGTGGGGGTGGTAGGGGGTGGGGTGGGGGCTGGGGTGGTGGTTGGTGGCTGGGGTGGTGGTTGGTGGGCTGGGAGTGGTGGCTGGTGGGACTGGGGGTGTGGATGTGTGGGTGGTGGTTGTGGGGCTGGGGTGGTGGATGTGTGGGTGGTGGTAGGGGCTGGGGTGGTGGTTGTAGTGGCGGTGCTGATGTGTGGGTGGTTGTTGAGGGCTGTGGGTGGTGGTTGTAGTGGGGGTGGTGGTTGTGGGGTCAGGGGCGTGGTGGTTAGGGGCGGGGGTGGTGGGCTGGGGTGGTGGTTGGGGTCAGGTGGTGAGTGGGGTTGGGGTATTGTGGGGCTGGGGTGGTTGTTGGGGCTGGGGGTAGGATGTGGGGTGGTTGTTGAGGGGCTGGGGTAGGTTGGGGGCTGGGGGTGGTGGTTGTGTGGGTGGTGTTGCTGGGGTGAGTGGTGGATGGGTGGTTGTTGTAGGGCTGGGGTGGTGGTTGGGGGCTGGGGGGTGGTGGTAGGGGGTCAGGGGTGGTGGACGTGTGGGGTGGTGGTTGTGGGGGTGGGTGGTGGTTGGGGCTGGGGGGTGGTGGTCAGGGGGCTGGTTGGTGGGGATGTGGAGTGGTGTTGGTGATGGGGAGTGGCGTTTGTGGGGGTGTGGTGGTTGGTATTGGGGGTGGTGGTGGGTCTGGTGGTGGTGGTTAGAAATGGGGTGGTGGTCTTAGGATGGTGGCGGTTGTAGGTCTGGGGGTGGTGGCTGAAATGGGGGTGGTGGCAGGGGGTGGTGGTTAGGGGGCTGGTGAATGTGGTGGTTGTAGTGTGTGGTAGGCGTTGTAGGTCTGGGGGTGATTGATAGGTATTGGTAGTTGGTGGTGGTCAGGGCTGGGGTGGTTGTGGGGCAGGGGTGGTCAGAGGGGGTGGTGGTTGTGGGGGTGGTGGTCAGTGGGGCTGAGGGGTGGTGTGGTCAGAGGGGCTGGGGGTGGTGGATTGTGAGACTGGGGTTGTGGTAGTGGTGGCTGGGGGTGGTAATAATGGTGGTCAGGTGATGGGGGCAGGTGGTGGAGGCCAGGGTGGTCAGGGCTGGGGTGGTGGTTGTGTCAGGTGGTGGGCTGTCAGATGGGGCTGGTCAGAAGTGGTGGCTGGGGGGCTGGGGGTGGTTGGGGCTGGGGTAGGTCAGGGGGTCGTGGTGGTCAGGATGTGGTGGTCAGGATAAGGTGACTGGGTGGTGGTTGGGGGCTGGGGTGGTGGTTGGTGGGGCTGGGGTGGTGGTCATGCTGGTGGTTGTGGCTGGTGGTGGTTGTGGGGCTGGGGTTGGTGGTTGTGGGGGTGGTGGTTGGTGGCTGGGGGTGGTGGTTGGGGGTCAGGCTGGGGTGGGGCTGGGGTGGTGGTCAGGGGCTGGGGCTGGTGGTTGTGGGGTGGTGGTTGGTGGCTGGGGGTGGTGGTTGTGGGGCTGGGGGTGGTGGTTGTGGGCTGGGGGTGGTGGTTGTGGGGTCTGGGGTGGTGGTAGGGGCTGGGGTGGGCAGGGGCTGGGGGTGGTGGTTAGGGGCTGGTGTGGTGGTTTGCGTGGTGGTTGTAGGGGCAGGGTGGTTGTAGGGTTGTGGGTGATGGTTGTGGGGTGGTGTCTGGGGTGGTGGTTGTAGGTTGGGGGCTGATGGGTTGTAGGGCTGGGGTGGGGTAGTGGTGGGGGTAGGGGTCTGGGGTGGTGGTTGGGGGCTGGGGTTGGTGTTGTGAGGGCTGGGGGTAGGGTGGGGTTGTGGGTGATGGTTAGGGGTGGTAGTGGGGGGTGGTTGTGGTGGGGGTGGTGTTGGACGGGTTGTGGGGGGGTGGTGGTAGGTGGGGCTGGTGTTAGTGGTGTAGGGGTGAGCTTGCGGTAGGGGGCTGGGGGCGGTGGTAATGGTTGTGGGGCTGGGTGGTGGTTGTGGGGCTGGTGGTCAGGGGCTGGTGGTGGTGGTTGTGGGGCTGGTGGTGGTGGTTGTGTTGGTTTTGTTGGCGGTTGGTGATAGTGAAGAGCAGTTTACCATACAGGTGTTGGTGTGCGTGGTGGTGCTTCTGATCAAATGGCGTGATCGGGGTGGGGTGGGGGAGGGGATGAGTGGGTGGGTGGGTGGGTGGGTGGGTTTAAAGGTCACTGCATAAAGTGTTCCCCACGGCCCCAAAGGATCAACACCCCCACCCCCCTCCCTCTCCCCTTCTCCCTCTCTGGCCTCAACAATCATGTGTGTAACAACTAATTACGCTCTGTGATTCTCCCGGACAGTGCATATGTTGTGTATTAATCACAAAGCATTAATGGAACAGTAATGAATAGCAGCTACAGACAAAATGCCTTTCTTTGTTATTGGTGTTTCAACCATATCGTAACGTTAGCCACCTCCTATATTGAAGCAAGGGTGGCCGAGAGGTGGTCATTCAGCTGCGTTAAGCTTCCCTGGGAAACGAGGCACCGTTAAAAAAAAGTTTATCACACAGGTTAGGAAAGCCAGGTATTCGGACTGACCAAAAGCAGCTCTGTGTGTGTTACTAACTACAGTAGACGTGGAAGTAACCGTACTAGGCATGATGTGGTAGTAAAAGTTGTAGTCTAGGTTTCTAGCTAAAGTGGTAGCAGTGCTATAGGCTTCGAGGGGCGGTCCATGGGTTGTGAAACTGGATATACGATGCAAAGGCAGAACCACAACTTATATCTTTCCATAACGTTTTCCGGACGTTAATTCACTTAGTTCACTTGTCCTACAAACTCAATAAACTAGTCTTATTACCAAGTTTTCTGACTGTTTCTCAAACTTCTTGTCAGTAGCTTCATTCAGCTCATGATCCTGAAAGCGGTGACCTCGGAGTTTGGACATATGTTTTGAAACCGATAATTAGCTTACGGGGACAGTACTGGGTTGTGGGGGAGGTGGTAGAGTAGCCCATCACAGTCGTACGTAGCGATTTGTATGACGCGTGATTTGTGGACCGGTGTCTTGTAGAGCAGTACACTACTAGTTAGCGCTCCCCGTAGTTTCTCCCAAAAGGTGCCCCTCTTTTTATTGCTTTAGGTTTGCATAATAGTCACCTATGATATTTGTTTGTGTGGCAGGTAGTTGATCAGCACAATCCCTTTGGCATCACAGGAAATCGAGTCTATGATCTTTGTGGCAGAAGGTTAACTTTTGAACTTCTTAAGGATCGGAAAGTTGTCGTGCTTCCGTGGCATGGATTCTCTCTTTAACGTTGGGATTAATTGATGAATCTAAGTCGCATCTCCCGGCACCAACCGGGAAAAGGTTGGCGAGATCAGCTTCGTACAGTTCAAGGAGTGTCGATAATTTAGTCAATCCTTCGGTGTCGTTCTTGAGGGCCGAGTTTTCGGGAATCCATCTTAAAAATCTCAGAAATCCCTAAATGTTTATGTATGATCTGGTCAAAAGGCCTCCCTGTGAAATACCAACCTCGATGTTTATTCCATCTACGTACTTTCATACACTTATCCACTTCAATAATTCTAGCTACAATTTCTTCGTTAGTGGCATCTGAAGTCTCTTTGGGGGGGAGGGGGTATCAGCGTTTGAATCCTTGGTCCACCTTGTTCTACAGTAGTGGTATACAAGGAAGTCTGCCCCACACATCCCAACATTGCGTCGACGAATTTCCTTTGCTGTGGAACTTTTTGGTTGACTTTTATATATTGCGAAGCTTAATTTGGACACGGCTGTGGTGGCGTATATTTGGGGTGATAGTGATGGTAGTACGGGAGCTATATTCAGTATACAGTACGTACTACACACCACTAAATGTCCCCACTTTACTGCCTCACACTCCTGTACTCACTCAGTTGCGAATAAGTTACCTTCTATGTATAGAACTAAACAAATCATTTATTTGAAATATTCTTAAAATTCAATGCCATAATATCCTGACCACGGGGTTTAATTATTCAGACCCTTTGTGAACTCTGCTCTGTAATCCTGTTGCGCTACCGCTCACAGGATTAGTATGGGGTGCACAATAAACAAGCTGCTGCAAGTGGCAAAATTAAGTTGAATTAAATCTCTCTCTCTCTCTCTCTCTCTCTCTCTCTCTCTCTCTCTCTCTAAAAGACATGGTAACGGACAATTGGATACGGTTCTCTCAGTTGTAGATCTTGACAGACATATTAGAAATGTTCTACATATGCAATAAGTGGGACGTGAAATTCTTCCCCCAATAAATAAACAAGGAACATTGTTGACGTACTGAATTAATCTTAGGTTATAGGTATAAGCTTCTGTCTGTATCTCATATGTGAGTATGAAATTTATTCAGTATATTCATTGATGTTTAAAGTGTTTTATAGCCAAATTTTTTACCTGTTGGATATATCAGTGTGGGGTTTGTTCAGGTTATAAAATGTTAAAGGAAAAAGTATTCCGACGTTTTACAAATATTTAAAATTTTTGATCTGTGTTTATGATTGTTTATTTTTAACCAAGGCTTCTGCTTATACTCTCACCCATAAACATTTTCCCTCTAACAGATGTCAAATGTGATACCATTCCTTACTAATTTATTTTTTTCTCTTTTCAGTGTGTTCTTTATCTATGGGCGCTAAAGATATGTTACCCCAACACTTTATTTCTATTAAGAGGAAACCACGAGTGTAGGCATTTAACAGAATACTTCACATTTAAGCAAGAATGTAAGTACCACCTTCCTTTCACTGTAACCATACCTCACATCAGGGCAAGAGTGTACTTATTATACCGTTGATTACTTGTGTGTTTCAGCACTTAGTCAGTATCTTCACGTGTTTCATAATGCTCTTAAGTTTATCGTTGAAGTGTATCCACACATGGGTGAACTGAGCCAACAAGTATGGCAAAATCCCTGAATGACTAGTAATAATTTGGTAAACAAGTTACCTAGAGCCTTGAATAGTTGGCAGCCTGAGTGTAGAGTAAGTCTTTGGTAAACAAACTCTCAGCCTTGAATAGTAGGCAAGTTTTGTGTTCCACTTTGCATGGACATTTTACCAAGCTTAAATGTCTGTGATGCTTTTTTGGTGGTCTGTACACGTATAAAGTTACAGAAGCTGGAGAAAGGGGAAAACACCAAAAAATAATAAAAGTAAATAGAAAAAATAGAAAGTTGACCGACGCCAGACACCTCGTGTAATGAATGACCCGAGACGTTTACCTGTTGCCCTTGACGCTGAAGCTTCCCACACAGTACTGCGTTACACCAACCCTGAGGTAGACTTGTGACTGATGACCTTCAACAAGATGCAACCTTGACCTTTTGCGTTTTCCAATTGACCTACGACTCTCATGAATAATTTTGGGAATAAAAATACGATAAAAACAGCCCCCTTAAGCTTAACCATTTTACTGCCAGGTTTTATCACCAGTTCAAAGAATAGAGTAAAAAGATATATACATTTAACACAGACAGATGCTGATAGACAAAATAGGTAGATTCCTTCATCTGGCGTCAAAGCTGTCGGTAACAATATTTATAGTGGATAACAGATGTATAATTGTATATTGAATGTGCCTTTTGTCCAATACTGAAGTTTGATGAGGCAGTCGCTACATCACTACGCTCGGTGAGGGGCGTTGGTGGGGGGAGCTTGTCAGTATAAGGCATCCCCTGCAGTATAAGGCATCTCCTGCTCACCCACAAGTTGGTGACCCCACCACCACTCGCCACTTGATAAGTCACTTTTCACCTTTTTAGATCAGATAAATGGTGTATTTTGACCCCAGATCAAACTGTTAATACCATTGGCCGCCATACAGTGACCGTGCACTACAACTCGTGGGACTGATTATATCAATACTGTGTACTGTGGACCTTAATTTGTGTTGTGAGGATGACTGTTTATTGTTGTTGTAGGTAAGATCAAAACAGTTAGCGAGTTGTGGTGTTGTTATTACAGGTAAGATCAAATACAGTGAGCGAGTGTACGACGCGTGCATGGAGGCGTTCGACTGTCTGCCCCTTGCTGCCCTCATGAACCACCAGTTCCTGTGTGTCCATGGCGGCCTCTCACCCGAGCTACACACACTCGACGACATCAGGAAGGTAGGTGGCCACTTAGCTTACCTCCCCTTTCCTTTCAAACTCCCATCACTCCACTAGGTTCTCTCTCGCCCCCCCCCCTTCCTTTCTTTTCCCATTCTTTAGTACACAATAGCTTCTTCCTCGCCTCCTCCCCCCCTCCATTCTTCGTAATAATAATAATAATGATATTTATTGAATCAAATTGTCATACAGGTTTATAATTAGATAAGTATGTTTATAAACTATGCTGTTATACAGTTCAGCATGAATATAGACAAAGTAGGTATACGGTGCACGTTGGCCATGGGAGTATACAGTTTCCTGTGTGCCGAGACAATGCAGGTAAACAGTAAGACAACTTAACCAAAGATACCCAACAAAGCTTTCGGGTGCTTACTTCCAGGTGTGTCCCTATTCAATAACTTTTCCCTCTCCCCCGTTCATTCTTCCTCCCATTCTTCCGTATTCAGTGACCTCCCCACTGCCCCATTCCTGTATCTAATCTACACTCCAGTCCCCATACCTTCCCCGTTTTCCTTTCCTTCCACTCCTCCTGCAGCTTGATGCCATACACAGGTGAAACTGGCCATGTGAGTTAAGCTCGGCCAACACCCTCTCTTAAGCTGGGCCACCTCCTGTATTTTTAAAGTAGAAACAATACTCGGGTTTATCTCCGATTAAGACGAATAGTGTACTCTTAGTGTTGTTGTTTGTTTGGCAGCGACCACAAAAATCTCGGCACTTAAAGATCTAGAAATTAACTCTTTGGGCACGATAGTCAAATAACCCAGTCCAGTGAACACCTTTTGTGAGTCGCTAACTGACGTTAATTACCTCACCAAGGAGGAGAATTTTCTTACACTGCCAAGCCACACTAATGCAGCCTATTTTATACATAAACAAATCATGGTAATTTATCATAACTTTGATATCATTGAGCTCTATTGTGTAGTATAATTATTATTGACAGGGATAAAGTTCTTCATTGACCAGTACTATAACATCATCTTCCTTGCCTTGACAACCGTTTGGTTTTACAGTAGTTATGGGTAGAAAACACAACACGTGTCAGTGACCACCTTTGTTTTCCTGCTATTCCGGGACCACCACGAACCCTCTCACCATCGTCCCAAATCATTATTTTGTATTTCTCAGAATTTTCAAGCTTTTCAAGGACATTTTATCTGCGACCAATAAAATGACCCACAATAAGTACATATAACGTGATGCACAATACGGTACGTTGTAAGAGTACCATCCTCGACTCAAACTAGAAATTGTTGCAATATCAGGTTAAAACGTACTGTCCTAGAATTATACCGTAAGTACTGTCACAATCATATCGTAAGTACCGTTACATAATTATACCGTAGGTACTGCCACATAATCATACCGTCAGTACTGTCACATAATCATACCGTAATTACTCTCCCCAGAATCATACCGTAAAAACTGTCCCAGACTCATAACCTAAAGTACTGTCACAGAATCCTTCCTAAAGTACTGTCACAGAATCCTTCCTAAAGTACTGTCACAGAATCCTTCCTAAAGTACTGTCACAGAATCCTTCCTTAAGTACTGTCACAGAATCCTCCCTAAAGTGCTGTCACTGAATCCTTCCTAAAGTACTGTCACTGAATCCTTCCTAAAGTACTGTCACAGAATCATACCATAAGTACTGTCACTTCTTAAAGACTAAATCAGCTGCCAGTGTTAGCCCTCCCGGGGACGCCATAATTACAAAATCTAACAGGTGTAACACAAGAATTACCAGGAGGAGAAGTCCCGCAGTACTAATATTATCAATAGTAACATGGTAGTAAGAAAGATATTGGTAATGACGATAATACTGTCAGTAATATTGATAGTAGTGGTGGTAGTAGTAGTGGTGGTAATAATGTTTGTTAGGCGATTCCCGTCATCTGTGGTCGATATTCCGTCATCTACTGGATAATTAACCTAACCAGAGGTGACAGGGAACCGGGGTCACATAACTCGTGGTTATGTGAGGGCAGATCTGAGTGGAGTTGGTGGTATATTAGCTATTGGTGGGGGTTTGAGGGGAGGGTCTGGGTGGAGTGGGCGGGATTTTAGTTATTGGTGGTGTTATGAGGGGAGAATCTGGGTGGGGTGGGCGGCACATGGGTACTGACAGTGGGGTGAGAGGTGGGGCAGGATGGAACTGTGGGTAATGATGTAGGAGTGAGGGGCGAGCCGAGATGGGATAGGTGGCACTTCGGCAACCAATGGCGATAGTGTGGGCAAGAGGTGTAAGGTTGGATTGGGATGGCAATACTGCAGCAATTAGAGATGGTGTGAGTGTGGAGGGCGGTATGGGGTTGGCAACACTGCAACAAGTGGTGGTGGGGGTGTGGGTAGGAGGACATGGGCGGCACTGCGGAACCTGGGTTGGGGTGGGCGGTACTGCGGTAATTGGTTGTGGTGTGGGTGTGAGGGATGGGGTGGGGTAGACGGGGTTGCTGCAACAGGTGTTGGTTTGGGTGTGAGGGGCGGGGCGACATGGGTTGTGCTGCGGCAAGTGGTAGTGGTGAGGGCGGGACGGGGTAGTGCTGATTGGGTGGCACTGCGGCAACTGTGGTATCCTGGATATGAGGGGCGGGACAGGATGGGCGGCACTGCGGTAATTAGTAATGTTGAGGGTGCGAAGGGCGGGGTGGGTGGCACTGCATCCACTGATAATGGTGTGAGGAGTGGAATGGGTGGCACTGCGTCCGCCGGTAATAGTATGAGGAGTGGGATGGGTGGCACTGCGTCCACTGATAATGGTGTGAGGAGTGGAATGGGTGGCACTGCGTCCACTGATAATAGTATGGGGAGTGGGATGGGTGGCACTGCGTCTACTGGAAAAGGGGTGGGTGTGAGGGGCAGGACTGTAGCAACTGGTATTGTGAGTGAAGACTGGGCGAGGTGGGTGGCACTGCAGCAACTTTAATGGTATGGGTGTGAGGGGTGGGGCGGTATGGGTGGTACTGCAGCATTTTTGTGGTGATATGGGTGTAAGGGGCGGGGCGGGGTGGGCGGCACTGCGGCAACTGGTGGTGGTGTGGGTGTAAGAGCGGCGGCGGCGCGACCCACCACTGGTTACCGTGGCAACGCTCGGGATCAATCGCTTCCCACCAGCACACGAGCGAGTCCTGCCCTGCTTGCCTGCCCGCTACTCCTTGCCCTTATCCTGCTGGTGCTCTCACTGGTACTCCTCCAACTCCTCCTTCCTCCAACACGTCTTGTACCCTCGCCTCCCTCACCCCCATGCTGTCCACCGCCATCAACTAGTCCTTTCTTTCCCGGTTCATGGGTGACAGTCTTGAGTGGAAACAGACACACGTGGTCAACACAAACAAACAACAGCTGACTGACTTTGCGAGTTGACCATCATGATGAATGGCGGATCGCAGGAATGAATGAAAGGGTGCTCTAAAACTACTCACACCCAACCCGTTGTGTAGTTCACCAAGCCAATCCCTGACAGTAGCCAGGATGGACAGTACCAAAAATTTACAGTAGCCAGGATGGATAGTACCAAGAGTTGATAGCAGCTAGGATGGATAGTACCAAGAGTTGACAGTAGCCAGGGTGGATAGTACAATGAGTTGACATTAGCCAGGGTGGACACTACCAGTAAAGTGACAGTAGCCAGGGTGGATAGTACCAAGAGTTGACAGTAGCCAGGAAGGACACTACCAATAAGTGACAGTAGCCAGGGTGGATAGTACCAAGAGTTGACAGTAGCCAGGAAGGACACTACCAATAAGTGACAGTAGCCAGGGTGGATAGTACAATGAGTTGACATTAGCTAGGGTGGACACTACCAGTAAAGTGACAGTAGCCAGGGAGGACACTACCAATAAGTGACAGTAGCCAGGGTGGATAGTACAATGAGTTGACATTAGCCAGGGTGGACACTACCAGTAAAGTGACAGTAGCCAGGGTGGATAGTACCGAGAGTTGACAGTAGCCAGGATGGATAATACCGAGAGTTGACAGTAGCCAGGATGGATAGTACCAAGAGTTGACAGTAGCCAGGGTGGACACTACCAATAAGTGACAGTAGCCAGGGTGGATAGTACCAAGAATTGGCAGTAGCCAGGATGGATAGTACCAAGAGTTGACAGTAGCTAGGTTGGACAGTACCAAGAGTTGACAGTAGCAAGGATGGATAGTACCAAGAGTTGACAGTAGCCAGGATGGATAGTACCAAAAGTTGACAGTAGCCTGGGTGAATAGTACCAAGAGTTGACAGTACCAGGATGGACAATACCAAGAGTTGACCGTAGCCAGGTTGGACAGTGCCAAGAGTTGACAGTAGCCAGGTTGGACAGTACCAAGAGTTGACAGTAGCCAGGTTGGACAGTACCAAGAGTTGACAGTAGTCAAGTTGGACAGTAGTCAGGATGGATAGTACCAAAATTTGACAGTAGCCTGGGTGAATAGTACCAAGAATTGGCAGTACCAGGATGGACAATACCAAGAGTTGACAGTAGCCAGGTTGGACAGTACCAAGAGTTGACAGTAGCCAGGTTGGACAGTACCAAGAGTTGACAGTAGCCAAGTTGGACAGTACCAAGAGTTGACAGTAGCCAGGATGGACAACCCGGGGAAAGTTACTCAAATAAATTTGAAAAGAAGCCTCATTGGAGACTACAAAAGTAAGTGTCCTCAAATAGACGTTATGCTTGCGTGATGAAAACCAAATCCAACACTATAAAGTGTTGAATTAATGTTACGAGATTATAAGTTACTCAAACAAAAGTACACAAAAATATAAAGTAGTTTTATGTGCTCCATAGAGTTACTACTTCAATTAATTAACAAAATACTTGTACTGTTAATTCATTACTCGGCACCGCTGCAACACACATTAATTTATTAAGCAATTTTATACTTTTAGGAAATATGCAGCTTGTAAAGATTTGACATATAAAGTCATCTTCTGGACAAATGTATCATTAGCTTCATTACTTTTAGCTGTTTCACACTGTAGCGACACGTGACTCGTATGGTTTAGTGCACACCTTTCAAGTGTAAATATTTAAAACAATACTGTATTGTACTTAATTTAGAAACACTTTGGATGATGTTTCAAAATCCAGTCCTTAGGTTTTTTTCCTAAACCAAGTGTGTAAAAAAATCATAACGATGAAAATACAATAGAAATTAAGGAACTTTTTCAGTGTTCAAGGCCTTGTATTTATTTATTTTTCACACTCGGATGACCTACAACGAGAACAACTTTCTCTTCATTCGCTATAATTATTCACACTGTACTACTAGCTGTCTTCTTATATTTATACTGTATATCCTGTACCTTTACAGTATTCATAAACTTATGATATATGATAGTGTTTATTTTATTTAGTTTTATTTTTTGTTTCAACTAAAGTTTGAGGAGTTATTATGCCTTGTCTGATGACTGACTTTGCTTGCAGCTGGACCGGTTCAAGGAGCCGCCTGCATTTGGTCCAATGTGTGACATACTCTGGTCTGATCCCCTGGAGGACTTCGGCAATGAGAAGAATGCAGAGCACTTCTCCCACAACTCAGTACGAGGTTGTTCTTACTTTTACAGGTAAGTTTACTCTCGCTCTCTCTCTCTCTCATATATATATATATATATATATATATATATATATATATATATATATATATATATATATATATATATATATATATATATATATATATATATATATATATATATATATATATACACACACACACACACAGTGGGGTATGCTATAACGAATCTAATTGGTTCTAGAACCTTGTTCGTTATAGCATTCGTTCGTTATAGGATTAATTCGTTCCAGGCCCCCAAATACAACCACTTAACACTGAAAAATGTAATATAAAATTGTAAAAAAGTGCATAAATATGCATCTAAACCCCTGAAATAAAGAATATCATTAATATTTGTAATAAAAAACAATAAATTAGTAAAAAAAAATTTTTTTTTTAATAATGTTCGTTGTAGGAGTTTCGTTCGTTATAGAATTCTCAATTTTATAGGTAAAACCGTTTGTTATAGGAATATTCGTAGTAGGATCCGTTCGTTATAGCATACCCAACTGTATATATATATATATATATATATTATGTAACCGGTCGGAATTACTGGACTTTAATTTCTCACTAGACTTGGGGTTAATTAAAGATTATTAGATGGTAATTGTAGTGGAAGCGCCCCTTTGAGAAAAATCCCGAACCAGCACAAGAACACTTAAATTTACTAAACAAAATGAATTGTCCGTGACCCTTGAAAGGATAGCATCTGTGACTGGGATGAATGAGACACACTGTAAAATTTAAACACTTATATTCCCTCCAACACTACAAACACAATCAAATAATGGTACACCAATATGCGCACCTCTTAACCTGAGCTTAAAACACTACTCTGGGGAATAAAAGTTATACATGATATTGAGATTATTAGAAACTCAGACAATGCCTCATTTGACAACAATAAATTTAAGTATTAAGAAATGTTGCTTGCACACATGAAACAGGCCTTAAGGGCTTTCAACAAAATAATATCAACCACTGAGAAAATGGTATAAAAAAATAGAAATTAATAACTCTACAATGAATAGGCCTTAAGGGCTTTCAACAAAATAATATCAACCACTGAGAAAATGGTATAAAAAATAGAAATTAATAACTCTACAATGAATAAGCCGTAAGGGCACTCAACAAAATTATATCACCCCAACAGATGCACAATTCCTAACCTAACTTAAACACTACTCTGGGGAACAAAGGTTATACCTGAGATAGGAATTATAAGAAAATATTAAATGCAACACAGCATACATGAGTAACTGAAAAAATAGTGTTAAGTACCCACAAAAATATTATCACTATTATTAAGAAGTTACCGAGTCCACCAATGCCCGTGAACCATGCTTCCTAACCTAACACATTGATTCCACCTGCACTCCGTAGTTTTTTAAGGCACAACCAACAGGCACCCGTAGTTTAAGGCCCAAACCAGCCTTTCTCAACCTTGGAAATGTACCTCTAAGTTCCACTGTACTCTTGGTCCCAGTGTGTGACCCTGTATCACTCAGCTGGCTTCACTTTACCCCCAGTACAGTGACCCCTCGTTTAACGAATGCCTCAGTTAACGAAATTTCGGTTAATGAACTGCCTTCCATAAGGATCTTCAATTCGGTTAACGAACAAAAATTCGGTTAACGAATTTCTTATGAACCGACCTCAACATGATTTCGCTTGCACTGACCGGGCAACCAGCTTTAGTATCAGTCCGCCAATACATTAATCGGTTCTAGGGCTTAAATTCCTTACTATTTTAGTAAATATCAAGAAGTTTATACTATTCAATAATTTTAAAAGTTTAATATTAACTTTTTTAGTCATTTTAACAATTATTGAACATAATTGAAGGTAAAGAAACTAGTTTCTGGCGTGCCATCCAGCCTGTTAACACACCAGACAGGCGTTAGTCTCTCTCTGTTTTCAGTGGAGGTAACATCTTGCTTGAGACTCTCTTCAACTAAACGCTTTTTTCTGTGTTTCCAAGCAAATTATTGGTCATTTTGAAATATATTTTACATATTGACAATATATAATGCAGTGCAGTGTTGATTTAAAGAAAATAATCTTGAAATACACCAAGAGAACTAAAATTTTATGGATGAAATGGTGCCATGGGGTGACTTCACTTCCACCCCAATGCCTTTTCTTCTTCCTTCTCCTCCACCCCCATTCTAATTCCCATCATCATCATCATCATCCAGGAGCCTTCTACTTACACACCTCAAAGTAAATGAACTTTTCTACCATTTTTGTTGAATTTAGGCAATTTTCGGTGAGCTGGAACCAATTACCCAAAAACCCATTGAAACAATGGTTCCGGTTAACAAACGACCTTCTGGAACGGATCTAGGTATATGCTGATAACCACAAGGAAAGAAGAAAACACGAAGTTCCCAAGCGCTTTCGTGTAATTCACATCTTCAGGGGTGAAGATGTGAGTTACACGAAAGCGCTTGGGAACTTCGTGTTTTCTTCTTTCCTTGTGGTTATCAGCATGTATGTCTGTCTGTCTGTCTGTCTGTCTGTCTGTCTGTCTGTGTCTGTCTGTCTGTCTGTATATATATATATATATATATATATATATATATATATATATATATATATATATATATATATATATATATATATATATATATATATATATATATATATATATATATATATATATATATATATATATATATATATATATATATATATATATATATATATATATATATATATATATATATATATATATATATATTTTTTTATATATATATATATATTATATATACATACAGTCAACCCTCGCTTTACGCGGTCCCACTTTACGCGTTATAACGTTTAGGCGGTACCCAGCCGAACACGGAATGCTCACTTTCCGCGGTGTGTGTACCCTTTTACGCGGAGAGCGGTGCGAGCACGGTGCGCACAAGGTCGCCCAGTCATCAAAACATTACCGAGTTCTTCACCCACCACAGCCGGCCCAAGTCAGTGATAGTGATAATGATAGTGAGGATATGGACTTATATGGACTTTGAGGGGTTTGACAAAGAGGCCCTGCAAGCCTCTGTAGTGGATAGTGATACAATTGATACAAGTGACACAGGTGAGGGCCAATAATCTGCCCTCTGCCTCGGAACCAACCCCCCATCCCCGTGTGCACAGCCATCTTTTCTACTAATGTAAGTGTTAAAAAACCTTATATGATTGATATTTCTCTTAATTATTAATTGTGCATACCATCATAAAATTAAGAAGTTATTTTTACTACAATGTAGGTATTGTGTCTGAAAAAGTGGAGTTTGGGGGTCGGCCCGGTCTCTATTTCAATTAATCCCATATGTTATGTTGTTCACTTTACGCGTTTCTCACTTTACGCGGGCCGCCGTGGGTTTAATTGACCGCGTAAAGTGAGGGTTCACTGTAATACTTTTTCGTTGTCATACAAAGAAATCCATAGCAAAATTTATAACCATAGATTTCGATGTACTAAAAGGAGGCAGCAAAATAACAGGTATCACTTTACATTTTTTTTTGACAGAAAATTCCCAGTGGCAAAGCAAATGGAAAGTGGCAATGGCAGTGTTTGTAACTTGTTCATTATTTCAAATATGCTAATTGTTGAGGCTAATTTACCCTTGGACCATGAAGTCTACCCATGACATGTTGGTACTGGGTATATTATTTTAGGCATAAAAAATTGGTGTTATATGTCATCCTCTAATGTGATAATATAGAGCAAGTTGTAAGGTACATATTGTACTGGTAATTTTAATGTGTGGTTTCTTCCTCAGCTATGCAGCCTGCTGTGACTTCTTGCAACACAATAATCTTCTGTCCATAATTAGAGCCCACGAAGCTCAAGATGCAGGGTAAGGCTTGTGTTTTCTTGTACTGTATGTTGGTGTGGAGTATGGTATATTTTTTTTAATTTAGGTACAATATTTTCACAAATGCCATGCCCATCTTGTCTTTGTTGTACTACAGTTGCTTGTATTTGCCCTGTAACTTTGCAACTGGTTAAGATACAGTACTGGAGTTAACCCTGAGGTCCCGGGTGACGTTTCAGAACGTCCGCCTATTCCCGCCACTGTTTAATTATGTTTGGAAAAGCTCAATTTTTCTTGATTTATCCCCATGGGGGATTTACTGCCAGCAGCACCCAAACCCGGGGCTTAAGGGTTAAACACCATATACTGTACATTTATATCACTAGCTAGGATATGTTTTGTCCAAAACCTCTTGGCAATCTGCAAAGAGTAGTATTTTTTGTCTTTCATTTGTAAATGTTATGCTGTCAGCAATGACATTCGCTTAATGCTGTATTATTATGCTTGTTATCTTTAATCGATTTGGCAAGCACACAGTAGAAAGACCTATGTAATTTTCTTGGCATTATTTCATGTTGTCAATTAAAGTTGTATTGCTGTACAATACATGCTAATTTATGACCACATTCTTAAGGATTGTGTTCTCCAATACAGGTGTTTGCAAATTCTGTGGAACATATGTGCTAATTTAACATTGCAAGTGGTGGACAAAGTACTGGAAAAAGTTTCTTGAGCAAAAGTACAGTTACTGTGAAAAAGATGTAATTATTTAGAGTACTCTTTCATAATGTTACTTCAAATTAAAAGTAAAAATATCACTGCAACAAACAAAAAAATACTGATTCTCCAGGCTGCTTCACACAGCCTGTACTATACTGTATAATAATAATAACAACAAACTTGGTGTACCGGTATATCAAATGATTCGAAGCATTACTGTGTTTGCGTAAACAATATTAAACGCCAAAAATTTTATAGCAGGTACATAACGAAAAATATAACCCCATCATTTTATGCGTATGCAGTTTATTTTTCATTGCACATACCTCTCACTTAAACCTAAACTTATTGTAAGTCTTGGGGCTGGGAATGCAGTTGAGTTTTGATTGGCTAGAAACATGTTATGCTTTCACCGAGTTCTAATTGCCTGGGAACTATCGCACCCACTGCTTAGGTAGGTGACCAGAATAAAGTACAAAGGTAATGAGTTACCCATTAAAAAGGTAATGAATTACTGTACTGTACTGTACTGATAGTTATCTGAAATGTAACTCAAGTAAAAGTACCTAGAAAAAGGTTACTCTCGAGTAACATATTTACTTTAAAAAGTTGTTTGAGCTCGGTAATGAAGGAACATTACTTCACTACCAACCACCTCTGCACATTTCTCATTCACTTATAATAATCAAATATTTTAGTTAGTCAAACATTTTTTATGTTCATGAGCCAATACTGTACAGTACGGAATTTTAATTTTTAATAAAAGTAAATCTGTGTATAGTAATTTTAGTCTTGCAAAAGAGGCCCTGTATTTATAAGGTTGCAAATATAATAAGTCATACTAAAGTGATTCAGCACATGTTTAGGTTTTTAAATTACTGTATTGTGTTATATTTTATTTTTTTCCCTAGTGAAATGCCTAAACTTTGAAAAGGGAGCATGTAACCAGCTGGGAGCTTAACATATCCCCCTTAACCTATATGGAAATTTGGGTCTGGTAAACTCCTCCTCCTCCTCCTTGTAGTCATTATCAAAAAGATGTAAGCGCACAAAATAAGACCGATACAGTATTGAGTTTGGTCTTGTTTCTAGCCTTTATAACTGTGTACAGTTCTGTTATCAGGAATATTTAAAAAAAAAGGAAGGATTAGGGTGGGGACATCAAGTTAGTTCTTTGTGTAAACTATGAGGAATAGAAAGTATTTTAGCTCTCTCTGTCCCTACACAGGAGACAGGAGTAGTATTCTTTTATACTGATAATTTTAATATACTGTATGCAGTACTGTACCGCATTTCATTTAGAACTAAAATTACCTTTATTTTATATATTCTATTGAGAATTAGAATACTGTATAATTTGGAAAATTGAGGAAGTAGAATAAATTGGACAATAAAATCAGTGAACTTAAATTGCCAAGGATTGTATTTTCATGTTTACTTTTGTGCAATTTTTATTCATGGCCACAGAAGCAGTTTCATGAGTAAGTTCAAGTGTGGCCATTTGTTGTACAAATTAATATTCTGTGCCAAAATGTGATTTCTTTGTAACTGAAACATTGTTCATAAGTCCATTGTACCCATAGGTTTTCGGATATCAACAGTGTTCACTCTCAAAACTTTGGATCATATGTACACTACAGGGGTATCTCAAAAATTATCTGTCCACACTCACTGTGTGAAACATTGAGACCACAGATGACAAATATTGGGACAAGCATTTATTTTGGTATATAATTTAACTTAAATAATGCAATGTGTATTTATTTCGGGGATGGCCCAGTTCAGCGCCGCCAATTCAGCGCCGCCGTTTCAGCGCCGCCGTTTCAGCGCCAGCCCATTTCAGCGCCAGACTATTCAGCGCCGAGACCTTTCAGCGCCTGTGCCTTCCGTTCAACTCAGAAGCTATCTGTCTTTCATTAACGTGGTTAGGTTAGGTTAGGTTAGGTTAGGTTAGGTTAGGTTAGGTTAGGTTGGTCGTCCATACCGGAGAGGAACTGGGAGAAGACAACAATTGTTTCCCACAGAGATGTTGAACAGAACGCACAGGCGCTGAAAGGTCTCGGCGCTGAATAGTCTGGGACTGAAATGGGCTGGCGCTGAATTCGCGGCGCTGAATTCGCGGCGCTGAATCGTACCCTACCCATTTATTTCAGTGTACTGTACTTATAATTAATATGATGTTCAGTTACCAAATGTAGTAGGATCAGTATGCCACAGAGCCATGCATACCAACACTCCCGGGACATCATAAGTTGCATGTAGCATTTTGGAAGTCGAACCCATCCTGGCAGATACTTTTTTTATGTACTGTATAGTACTACAATTTTGCAATTTTCTGAAAAATAGGTATTTGTTATTGAAATGTATATTTTTATTTCAAACCAAATGAACCAATAGAAAATTATCACAACCCCATTTTATTAATACTAAAAATTGTGTACAGTACTTGTGACTTTAATATAAATTGGGTAAAAAACAAAAACTTATCTTGAGGTTCTTGGTTTTGTATTTCAGATTAACACATGAAAACAAAAAACTTTCGCTGCTGAAATATTTCCTACAATAAAGTTGATTGTATGTACAGTATGTTGTTATGAAGTGTATTTTAATGTTTTCAAAGAAGTCTGTTAAGTGACAGAGGCTTTACTCTTGCAGGTATCGTATGTATCGCAAGAGCCAAACAACAGGTTTTCCCTCTCTTATCACAATATTCTCTGCTCCTAACTACCTGGATGTGTACAACAACAAGGTGAGTGGGTGTTCATATTTTGAAACCAACACAAGTCATTCATTTGAAATTTGTGTTTTATCTAGAGTTTGTATTTTTTCCGCACCAAGACAGTACTAAGACAAAAGTAGTACTACAGTAGAGTTGAGAATAATTGTTTGTGTGAGAAAAAGTAGTTCACTGTAAAAAGAGAAATGAAACCTTAGGATTTATTTTAGTTGAAAATAAACAGAAGGGGAAGAGTGGTCAAAAATCTAAATACATGTGTATTTGAGGGGCTGTCAAAAACTTTTATAAAGTGGGTATTCTTTGATAAAAAGTCAGAACCACAAATCACATTTTATATATATCAGTTCTGTAGTTATCCCTGATTCAGTGCATGTACTGTACTCCACTTTTCTTTCAAACTCATAAATGCCAGTCTTATAGAATTCTTCCAGCTGTTTCCCATATTGCACCTAATAAAGCTTCCTTCAGCTTATTCTGAAAGCAGGTTTCAAGGAAACCATCTTGCAGAAACCTTAGACATCCTCAAATGTTCATAGATGAGGGCCAGAACACTTCCATGTATAATGCCAAATAGCTACAGTTGCTTTATCTGTGATATCTGAAGGCATCTTGACCAGGAGTCATCTTCAAGGCTCTAGCCCCCAGACTGGGTTCATCCTAAAGGTTCCTTACACCCACACTCCAAACTCCTTGGTCCACCTTGTTATGAAGCTGTACACCCAACATGCATTGAAGGATTTTCCTTTCTGTGAAACTTTGTTATGCATGTTAGGATACTCCAATTTTCTCAGATGTCATAGTATAAAGCCCCCATTCAGGAATATTCAGTTGTATTACATTAATCAAATTAAGTGAAACAAATGCCCAAATAATGAACTTTACTGTCTAAGCATTAAAAACTTGTGTTTGTTCTACCCTGGAAGGGCCAAACCTATTGACCGCCCCATGTTTGATATGACTGTCCTCATTCAGGTAATGGGCTAAATATATATATTGTAAAAATAAACAAAGTCAACAGCCTACTTATTCAATTGTACATAAGTAGCCACAACAAGGACATTGATTACCAAGTCACTGCTCATTTAAGTTACATTTATATTTGGTGACACACAATGTTGAAAGTGTGCTGTTTTTTACTTCACATGGAAGGAGAAAGAGATTCTATGTGAAGAAAACTACAGTAAGTCCTCGCTTAACATTGTTTCCAATAACGTTTCGTTTTAACGCCACTATTCTTTAGATACCCATGATTTGGATAACGTCCCGCTGATTCAGTATAACGTTTTCACCCTCTCATCTTGGCGTGCTGCGCTCTCACCCGCAGAGCGTCCCCAAGCGTCGCCAGTCTTTGTTAAGCTACAACAGCGTTCGTGTGTGTTTAAGTGTTTTTGCTCTTAATACTGTACTCTAACCATTCGAAATGGCTTCCAAGCGCCCATCAAGTGCTAATTGATGGGCTACGAAAATGGAGGTTTTAAACCGGGAGGAGGAGCCACCCACCGGGTCTCAATGACTCGCCACCCTCCACCTCCTCCTCCTCTCCCGCCCTCCTCCTTCGCTCCACAACCCACCACCACACACTCATTCCACCACCTCTGTCCATCAGTGAGTACAATACAAAATGATTTATATATATATATATATATATATATATATATATACTGTATATTATTTTCAATAAAAATGCCATTGAATTTCTGTATATGTAATGTATTTTATGGGGCAAAGGGAGGCTGGGGAACGTAACTCCCGTATTTTATCTATTTCTCATGGGGAAATTGATTCCGATAATTTTGTTCCATTAACATCGCGGTTTTCAGGAACGGAACCACGACATTAAGCGGGGACTTACTGTACTGTATTTTATGGACTATAAGATGCACATGCATATGTATGACCCTCCCAATAGCTATATACGTATATAAATATTTTTTTTTAAATCTGTAATGTATACCAGTAAATGTGAGGAATATATAGAAAATAATATCAATAAATAAGAAAAAAAGCTGTACCTGTGTTACTATGTGGCTCTTGGACAATGAAATTTGTCCATTTCACTACATACATGAGACGACACAACAGCCGAGATCCCTCACTACTCCTCCCTGCTCAGCGCACTCTTTTAACACACAAAGTTTATTAACTTTTATGTTTTTGATTTTATGATAATTATTTTTGTTATTTTAGTTGTTTATTTTTTGCACTGTATGTAAGACTGAGTGTGCATGTAAAAAAAAACCACACACACACATATATATATATATATATATATATATATATATATATATATATATATATATATATATATATATATATATATATATATATATATATATATATATATATATATATATATATATACATACATACATACATACATACATACATACATACATACATACATACATACATACATACATACATACATACATACATACATACATACATACATACATACATACATACATATATATATATTGTCTCCCAGAAATAATGAGTTGAAAATAATCATTACATAGCTCACAACTCAGCCTGGAGTGGTTGAGAGAGGGCTTGGGGATGTGTGGCTATAATGACGAATCTTGTGTTACTATTACAAATACAAAACTAATATAAAATAGTGAAAAACAAGCCAAAAAAATATGGAACACTGTGCAGTATTATCACAGATATAAAGTAACGGCTTACACAGGAATTAAAAAGACTAAAGCAAACTAGCTACTCCCTGTACTTATTTCCTATCATTTGTAAACCATACCACCTACCTTTCTTAATATTACAGATATTTAACAATTGCGTTTCCTCAAACAAAATTTGTATACAATTGAAGTTGCCTCTGAAGATGTCTTGAATATAGACAAAAGCTAAGGTGCTCCAGTGTTTACCTTTTCCTGTGTGGATCTACAAGAAATATAGTACATATATACACAAACATTATGCTTATAAACCTAAATCTACATTTATTTAAATTTTGCCCTGAAAATTAACAATCAAAGTTTCCTTAACCTGTACCTTCCAGTGTTTAACAATCTACTAATCCTCTGAAGATGTCTTGAATAGAGATGAAAGCTAAGATGCGCCAGTGTTTCTCTTTTCCCATGTGGTTTTATCAATGTGTACTGTATAGTGTACCTGTACTCATCTATGCATACTCATTTATCCACTTTTGCATACATACACATATGAGGACCCCAAATGTTCTACTCAGGGTGCCATAATAAGAGGAGTTATACCAGGGTCAAATTGTTTTAACTCACTTTTCATCAAGAATCCTGAGATTCATATGCAGGAGGCTCCTTACTTACGAACATCTGACTTGCGGACACCGGCCAATACAAAAGGGGTAAAACTTTAAATTTACAGTACTGTATTGTATTTACCTGATGACTTATTTTTTTTACTTTCATTTACTGTATTTTGTCATTGTTTTTTCTTTTGTCTTAAATTAATTGAATTTAAAACTATATAAGGACGTAGGCTGTGATATTGTGGGATTTTAAACATTGTTTTGTAAGAACAGTATCAATAGAGCATGTGTTCCGCCTTGCGTACGAATGCAACTTTCGAACGTCCTCAGGAACAGAACCCATTCATAACCCGGGGACCCCCTGTACACTACAGTATTGGCTTCTTTGTACCTCAAAAAGGGTCAGTCCATGAAAATGTCAGTCGGAGAGCCAAAACTGAAAATCCACCAAAATTGATAAGTTACTGTATGTGTTGGGAAATCTAAAACATTGAATTTTACAAATCAGAAAAGAATGAAACTAACACGGCCACAAAAACAGCTATAATTAAAATTTTCACATCATGTAACAGAAGAAACAAAACTTCCTAAAATAGACCATTTACCATCATCATTTACCAAAATATCTATTGGTCGAGGCTTTTTTAAAATGATACAGAATAACAAGAATCTTGTCAGATTGTAAACACTGGTAGAATGTTTGATTATCTTGTGTAGTTTTTTATTGACGTGCTTGAAATGTGTGTACACAGTACAGGTTGTACCTCTCTAGTCCGGCATTCTGTGGTCCGGAACGATTTTAGTTTGTCCAATAGGTAGATAGGCAGGTGTTTTTTTTTTTTTTTATCTGAATTATTATTATTACAGGAGTATTAAATTTTTGCCCCTCAGGCCCCAATGTGGGTCAGTGACCTATGCCCGGGTGGGCTAATCCCCTTAAAAAAAAAAAAGCCGCGGGAAATTAAGGTTTGTTTACATCCGGCAGTTCGGCTGCTCTCTCTCTCTCTGCTTGTCTATACAGAGTACAACATTTAACCCTTCAATATATATGAGCAGTAAATAAGTGTTGCTTTCATATTCTTATGTAGAGTAATGACGATATATTTTCACATGTGCGCACTTACATACGAGCAGTCTCACTTTTTTTTTTACCATTAATGGTGAGCTACTTATATTGTTCCATTTATTAACATTAAATAACATTACAGGTACTTCAAGCAACCATATTCATTTTTTACATTAATTTTACTACAGCTAAACTCAGGGTCTTATTTTCTTCAGTTTTATATGTAGAACCAATCAGTCACTGGTTTCGTAAGCTTTAACATAAACAATGCCGGCAGCCGTCTCGTCTCCTCTAATATTCCACGTATTATTAATAAATTGTATTGTTAATTTTGCACACACGTACATTAATTCAATAAAAACAAATTCAGAAACATTAATTAAAATATATATGAACAGTAAATAAGTGTTGCTTTCATATTCTTATGTAAAGTAATGACGATATGTTTTCACTTACATATGCGATCTCTCTTTTTCTTTACCATTATCGTTAGCTACTTCTATTGTTCCATTTATTAACATTAAATAACATTACTTAAAACAACTATATTAATTTTACTACAGCTACAACCAAGGTCTTATTTTCTTCAGTTTTATATGTAGAACCAATCAGTCACTGGTTTTGTAATCAACGAAAACAATGCCGTGTCATTTCCTTGTGTGTTTTAATATTCTACGTATTATTAATGAATTGTATTGCTCATTTTGCACACATAAACATTAATTCAATAAAAAAGACATTCAGTAATAAACAATAATGAATCTTTTGTACATAAGAGAAATGATGCTGTTTACACGATTATGCACGTCGTCTGCACGTTGGCGGGCCGTTCAAACCCGTCGAAATTCAAGTTTCTGCCGTCAAAATTTTTATTTTATTTTTTTGTGTGTTCCAATAAAATACGTTAAGAATTAAAAACTCGCGAAATTTGAGAAGCTACTATATGACATTTAACCCTTCAATATGTCTTCAAAGAGACCATGACGAAGAGAAAGTGGTGCTAGTGCTTCCAGGCATAAGCACAAGTCACTATCTATCCAGGAAAAGGGTGAATTTCCATGGTCCGGCAATTTCCATGGTCCGGCACTGGTCAGGTCCCGAGGTTGCCGGACTAGAGAGGTACAACCTGTATTTCCAAAGTAACGAACCTTACATTTTTTTTTTTGCATTTTCCCAGTACAGTAGTACCCCTTTACACGGTCAATTGAACCCACAGGGTACCATGGAAAGTGAAAACCGCGTAAAGTGAACAACAGAACATATGGGATTAATTCCAATAGAGACTGGCCCGACCCCCAAACTCCACTTTTTCCGACACAATACCTATGTTGTAGTAAAAATAACATCTAAATTTTATGATGGTATGCTCACACAATTACTATTTAAGAGAAATACAGTTGCCAAGTTAATGTCCATTCAAATAATGGACTCAAATCCCCTCCTCTTCCTAGCTCACTAGCTCCTACCTCTCTGAGAAATGTTGGGTGAAAACACTAGATTTTAACGTTTAGTAATAAATAATACCTCAGACTAAAGATAGGATAATATAATTGACATTTCTGGATTCCTTGCAGGTCAGGGAATATTTTGAATGTAAACTTCATATATTTTGCACAAAAGATAAAATATTTTTTTTGTGTAAACCAAATTATTACATTAGATCTAAAATTTGTATGTCTATTGCAAAATCCATGATGTTTATATTCAAAATGATCATCATATTGTAAGAATTCCAGCAATGTAAATTATATTCTGGTCCAGTAACTTATAAGAATTTTATGAGCTAAATAAAAAAAATAAAAAAATTATACTTCACGCGTATATGAGTAGATGCACCGTAGATGCACCGTGGAAAGTGAAAGTCCGGTTCTGGCAAGGTACCTCGTAAATGAGAAATCGCGGAAAGTGAAACCGTGTAAAGCGGGTAATACTGTACTGTTCAAAGCTTATTAATTTTATTTTATTTTATAAATTGCCATCCTATTACCATACTAACGTGACCCGGGAATGTTCTCTCTGGGGCTTTGTTATCGCACAAAGACGCATGAGGCGTCGTTACCGCTGCAGTAGTAGTGACCTTCATGCAAGTTTTTAATTTTTCCACTGTACAGTATTTATATCATGTTGTGTGTGCAGTTTCTTAAAACTAAAGAAAAAAGACCTTTGCTGTAAAGGTGTGTGACAATAATGCTAAAATATAACTGTCTTCAAAGTGATAAGTTTTCATCATAACTATAATATTGTCACACGTTTATACAATAAAGAATTTTTCTTGTCTTCATTGTTTGCTTTCTTTTTTACAGTACTGTACTTATATATTGTTCTTTGCTTTTTTCTGTTCATTGCTTTGTCTTTTATAGACTGTGCTATAATGTATTTTTAGAAGTTGTAGTATTACCAGTTAAAATTAATGTAAAAGAAATGGCAATTGCACAGTAACGACCCTCATGTTTCCTTGTAACGAACCCAGGGCCGGATTCAGGAGTGGGCAAAGTGGGCAGCTGCCCAGGGGCCTCCACATATTACAATATTTTATTTATTTGTTTATTCATTTGGATTATTTTTATTTTCTTTCTTTAAAATTCATGTTTATCTATCACTTTTGTGTGTGTGTGTGTGTTGGGAATTTGTACACTAACAATAAATATACAGTTAATTAAAAATTTCTCAATATAACTGCATATGGCTTCAAAATTCTCCAAAGAAGTGTTCAAATTTCAAAATTTTCCCGGGGGGCTTGCAGCGTCCCCCGGAACTCCCAGATGTTTAGGCTCGCTTCACTCGCCACCCCACCCTCTTGGGTACTTATAATGAGGGGGGCCTCCACAAAGAGGCTGCCCATGGGCCTCCACAGGTCTAAATCCGGCACTGAATGAACCTGTCATATTTTCCTCACTTATTTCAAAACTACAATGAATAATCTAATTTGCCAGGTAAGGTCATGAACCTTATTCATTGACTTACTACTGATATGCAGCACTCTTTGATTGAATCACTCAAATCACAAAGATAATAAAATGAACAAGTGGGATTAACTAGATGGGTAGCATAGTGGTAATGACCCTCCTAGTAACTTGGAAATTAAAAATGAAATGAAGTTATAACACAGGCACATTCTGATTAACAGCATAATATAACTCTTAAGTGTTGGGAATACAGTAAAACCTTGATTAACCGACTTTCGGATTAACCGTCGATCCCGAACCCATAATTTTTTTTTTTTTTTTGGGGGATTAGCCCACCCGGGCACAGGTCACTGACCCACATCAGGGCCTGGGGGACGATAATGTAATAATATTAATAATGATAATAATAATAATAATAATAGTAATAAAGAACCATAAAGAAATGCAAAAATGAAAAAAAAAAATCAAGAGTGAGAAACAATGTACCTGTATGTATGTTGTGTTGTCAATAGTAAGAGAAACAATTGAGACCCTGCAATTGTGTGTAAATGAGGCAGAAAGTCTGGTCAGCAACCTGGGACTTAGTCACAATTTTTGTGATGCCATATGTTCTTTGACTTTTCCATTTTTTATTCACGGTTTCTGTGCTGGTTCATATTTATTTACTAAAGTGGTTAATGTTTTAAAGCAAATTCTATTGATATATGAATGGCAAATGAACAAAAATGAATACCGGGTAGAGGGAATTAAATGAGGTAGGTTAGGGAAAGGTACTTTGAAAATGTATGTTTTATTTCCGTAGACTTTAAGTACTATTAACCGACCTTTTGGATTATCCGTCGGCCCTTTCCCCCCATATGTGGTCGGTTAATCGAGGGTTTACTGTACTGTATAATGCTATAAGAACCAACTGATTATGCAGTTTTATTTTATTAATATAGCTGGGAATACATGAATAAGTTGTCTCCAAATGTAACAAACCTCACAATGGATTGACCCAGCAGTCAATTTAAAAATTTTTTTTTTTTTTTTTATTATTTGTCCATGAATTTTTTTTATGGTAGATTGTATTGTACATATTTGAATACTTATATATAATGGCTGCAAGGTTAATTATTCTTTTATCATTGTAGGCTGCCGTGTTGAAATACGAGAACAATGTGATGAACATCCGGCAATTCAACTGTTCACCTCACCCATACTGGCTACCCAACTTTATGGACGTCTTCACATGGTCACTACCATTTGTAGGAGAGAAGGGTAATGTTCAACTTATGTATTTGAGATCACATACACAACATAATAAATTGAATCAGGAAGCAAATTTGTAATGGGGTCATATCAATGGTTCAAAGTGGCATGATACTCTTTTGGAACCAGTGGGTATATACAGTAGGTGATTCATAACCTCAAGCACTGTGTGGGGGTTAGAAAGGGAAGGAAAAATTCAAATTGTTACTGATCAAGAGCTGTATGTATTCTAACTAGCCTTGGGTTGCTATACGTCCGTATTTTCCCGGACATGCCCTCCATTTAGGTCTCGAAATCTTCATCCGGAAGGAATTTTTACAATTCTTCAAAAGTCCAGAATTTCAGCTTCCACCATTTTCTCCACGGAAAAAAAAAACATGAAACTGTAATGACGAGAGAGAGAGGGGAGGTGGAAACTGTAGGGATCTCGTTCAGTTTTCGTCAGCTGATAAGTCACGTGTAGCACAAGTAGTACACGTGACGCCTGTACAGTGTTGTCAACTTAGCTGCTAGCAGTTTTTGGGCTAGCATGTAGTGCTATGTACTGCTTTTCCTTGTTCAGCCACGCGCATTATTTTAATTTATTTTTGTATTTAGTGCTATTACAGCCATAAATTAAATTTTGAACGTATACCATATTTTTCTTACGGCTTTTTTACACTGTAGCATTTGTTTTTCTTGTCCTGCATTAAAGCCATTTTAGCAATTTTCAACCATAATCTAGCCACTTTCGCTATTTTATTTACGTGTGTTGACAACTATGACGGTGACCGGTGGTTGGCCAGTCTTTAACCTGCAGTGACAGTGTTTGAACTTAGTCTTTGTTGTGGGTTTGTCGCTTGTTGCCACAGCTAGTGCTTAGGATTTGTTGTACTTTTCCAGAGCAAAATGCCCAAACGCAAATGTAAATTCACTGTAGAGTTGCAGAGCAAACTCCCATGTTTTAAGAGAGGCAGGGATGAATGGGAAGCGCAGTGTTTGGTGTGCAAACCAGGAACATACGTCTCTGTGGCAAATAAAGGTATTTATGATTTGCAAACACATGTGAACTCAGACAAACACAAGAAAGCAGTTCAAGGAGAGGGCTCATCGATGAAACTGACTGATTTTTTTGTCAAACCAGGTAGTAAAACTGAAGATGCTGTCACTGCTGCAGAAGGTACTTACACATTTCACACTGTTAAACATCACAATAGCTTCACGTCCATGATCTGTTCATCTGCCTTGGTTAAAAAGACTTTCTCTGATTCTGAGGTGGCAAGGAAGCTTTCTAGTGCTCGAACAAAAACAGAAGCAATTGTTAATTCTGTGCTTGCACCGCATTCTGTTAATGCTGCCTTGAAAAATCTTGAAGAAAATGAGATAGCATATTGTGGAATTGCTACAGATGGAAGTAATCACAATTCAATAAAGCTATTTCCTGTAATTATTCAGTACTTTGACTAGAAGAATGGTGGTTTACAGTCAAAACTGATCGGTTAAAGAACACACCTAATGAGACTGCAGACACAATCGCTAATTATGTAAAGGAAACTCTGGAGAAAAATGATCTCTCTGAGAAATGTGTTGCATTCACAGGTGACAACTGCAATACAATGTTTGGAGGACTCAGGCGTAATGATGACGGTAATAATGTGTTTGCAAATTTGAAGAAATTGCTTCAAAAGAGATCACTAATTGGAGTGGGTTGCCCAGCGCATATTTTAAACAACTGTGTCCATCATGCAGCAGAAAGAATGGATATTGATATTGAAAATATTATCTGTAAAATTTATCAATATTTTCATATCTACACAGTTCGAACTGAGCAGCTCAAGGAGTATTGTGATTTTGTTGAAGTTGAATACAGGAAGCTCCTCTCCCATAGTAAGACTTGCTGGCTGTCACTATTGCCTGGCATCGCCAGGCTAATACAGATGTTTCCTGCTTTGAAATCCTTCTTTCTATCACAAGACAAACCACCCACAGTAATTAAAAAATTCTTTGTGAATGAAATGAGTGAGATTTACCTCTGGCACATGCACTCATTAATGAATGTATTTCACACACACATTCAAGTAATTGAAAGGGAAAGCAATTCTGTTGTAGAAGTGTTGACAAATTTAGAATCTGTTCATAAAATGCTTGTAGAATGCAAGAGTCAGAATTTTATGTCATTGAAAGTTAAAGGATTGATTGCTCAAAAATGCACAGAAGGAAATGAGAAAGAGTGTAACAAGTTTTGTGCTGAAATAGTTAATCTATACGACAGATGCCTTGAGTATATTGAGAATTGGATGAAGCCAATGGAAGATTTTTCTTGTTTCAAGTGGATAACCTTGAGTGAAACACCAACCTGGACTGGTGTGGAGCCGTGTGTTAAATATTTGATTGATAAGGGGGTAGAAGTTGATGATGTGAAGTTTTTTGACCAAGTTAGTAACCTGAAGCAGTTTGTGGAAAATTACAACAGTGATGAATTTAGTAATCTTCCAACACATAAAAAGTGGACCAGATACTTTGAAAAATCAAAGAACATTGAATGCCACTCAGAATTGCTAAGAATTGCACAATTCTTCTTTGCTATATCATCTCACAATGCAAATGTAGAACGAGTTTTTTCACTGATGCAAAGTCAATGGACAAAGGAAAGGAACAAATTGAGTGTTGAAACAATGAAAGGCTGTACAGTACAACTTCCGAGAAACATCTTGCAGTGACTTCTATACCTTTCTTAAGAGAAATCAGCCAATACTGAAAAAGATCCGATCTACAGAAAAGTATGCATGGGCACATCAAGTCACACACACAGTGGAGGAAGAAGGCTGCAGCTAAGGGAATGAAGATGTTCAGCCTTAAGCAAAGGTAATTTTTTTTATTATTTTTAAGATTTCTATACCATGTATGTTGTATATTAGCCTGTGTGGGCCGGGGGATGTCTTCCGGAGCGTCCTCTTTTTTTAATGTTCAGGTATGGCAACCCTAAACTAGCCAAATGTGTGTGTATGGAGGTTCCTACATATCTAGCAATGAGTAATGGAACACAAAAACCTTAAGAATTGAAATGTGATTTTCAGTGTTTTTGATGATGCCAGTTGGGGGCTTATATCTCCCCAAAACTCATGAATTTTTGTGCTTCATTGAGTTGACAGGACATTGATTTTTAGGCATACACACATTATAAAAATCTTTGCGCACACACACACACTAACTCCCAGTTCCTAAAACATTACTGAAATAAGAACTTTGAATCTCGCAAGCAATTTAATGGGTAACTTCGAAGAATAGTCATATGCAATTCACATACTGTATTTCAAAATGCAGTCAGTCTCTCACAAAATATGGCAGTGATCTTCAATAAATGTCAAGATTTAACACCTACCAAAAGGTATAGATATCTAGGCTGCCCAATTCACCCCACACTAAATCGATGAAGCACTACCGTACATTCTTGGTAAGAGGAGCTAAAACATTAGGTGAAGCTCTTTACACACTTTGTTGAAATGAAGTTGGTTACTCTATTTCACCTAAGTGTACAGTATGTCACAATGCACTCCGAATCTAGATTTCACAATGTGTAAACATAGGACTGAGGTGTGGAATTCAGTGATAGGAAGAGCATATTAATACTGTATACCAGTTTGGTAATTCTATAACTATCACCTATGGTGTCAGTTTATGCTTAGTGTCATGGGAAATTCAAAAGAATTCTTGTACAGGTATTGCCATCTGTATAAAGGTTTTTCTCATCACTACCCACAAGAGGCCACTTGGCTTCTGTAATAATCAACTTTGTTTACCCTCACTGAACAAACAACAGCCTTAGGCGCCATCATAGACAGTAAACCCTCAAAAGTCTGGATTTTGGATAGTCCAGTCTCTTTCTGGGCAAGAAACATTTGTCCAAACCCATAAATAGTTTGAAATTCTCGCTGCACTTGGTCATACGAAATTGCCGTCAGCAAGAGATCCCTTTGAGGCCTCTCTCCTCCTCTCAGACATGTGAGTTTTGGAGTTTATTTCCCCACTCTTAGAATGGACTTGCCCATAATGCTCTGCACTGTGATTGGTTAGCTTCTCTCAAGCCATAAGGCATACTTCCTTCATTTGCCACAGAAAAATAGTTCAAACTGTGGTGATGGTAATCATCCTGGGAAGAGAGCAAAAGACAAGCGCGTATTGCATCATTCATATTACTACAACTACTTTGCTGTCACTCGGAATCGAGTATGACGATCATCCAGCTTATGATACAATGATGTGAGTTATTAAGGATGTCACCTATTTTGGTGAGTTCTGAGGTGGATAAAGAGACCAATACGGGACTGGCAGGGTCGATCACAGATGTTGCCCATGTGGGTGGCTACATCTAGTGCGGGAGGGGCGGCGGCAGCGTCCTTCCGGCATTGGCGCTTGTCTGCCTCATTATGCAGTCAGGCTAACACACACACCCCTCTGCCCCACTCCATCTTATGTTTCCATTTTTGTAAGTCAAATTACAAATTATATACTGTACTGTATTGTATTTTCCTAATATTTAATATTTTATATTATTAATGATAAAACTTACTGTACACCATAAGAGGCTGATCATACGAGAATATAATAATGAATAAATAAATAAACTGGCGAATGCGGCAACACCTTTAAGGATGGAGGGATCTTCTCAGAGGCCAAATCAGTGGAGTCAACCCAGTTCAAAGAAGATTGACTACCTGATCAATCATAGTCTGGTCGACAGTTTCTATAGTTCCTGCGCATGATGGTCGTCTTGTTGTTTGATGTTAATTCTGAGATTATATTTGCATCTTCAAAAGGGCAAAGGGCTACCATATCAGTTGATATTCTGTGGAAGTTTTCAGATCTGAGGGTCTACACAATTGAATTCTGCTTAATAATACAGTTCCATTAGATATCCTTACAATTTAACCGTAAGCACTCACACCTTCAAAGCCAGAATTCTGCATGGTCCACCAGTTGGAGTCCCTGGAGCTGCAGCTCCTTGTCTTGTGATGGACTAGGATCTTGGGTCTTAGGTTCAGAGTGTGTCTGTTTTCCCCATTTGTCTTGGTCCTCATGATCCCAGCAACATACGAGTATATGTGCTTGGTCATATTGTCTGCCTTTGTTACATTTCTTTTCACTGCTTTATCTTGAGTTAACTGTATTTCATTATGACTCCCAGACAAAAGCATATGATTATTAGCATCACTAAGAAGATTGTGGTCAATCAATGCTATTCCTGTCCTCATGTATGTACTCCCAGGAATAGCATATACATGCAAGGACAAGGATACTTCTGTACTTCAAAACTTTTCTGCCCTGTTATTTTATTCTTTTACTACTATATTTGATTTTTAAAATTTGTATAATATAATCCATGCACATCTATATTATTTGTTTATGCATTAAAGTATATGATATATGAGAAGGGAGGGATTTAGAGGTAACCATAAAATGACCAGTCCTTAAGGCCTCAGGAATGGTTTCCATTGTATATGCACACTTTTGTTGTATTTTGTTTTATTCAGCTAAAAGTAATGTACAGTAGTTTATATTCAAAGAAAGATATCAGTCCATTGAATCCTCTGGAAGCACTGCAGTGTAACACAATCATTATTTTTTTATGTACCTTTGTTTTAATGATGAGTTATGATATATGCATAAAGAATTCCATTGTTATTCTTTAACTTGTACATAAATCCTAATGTAAAGTATTTGGATGTATAGTTATTCAAATATTTATTTTCAGTGACGGAGATGTTAGTGAATGTACTCAACATCTGCTCTGATGATGAGCTTATGGATGGAGAGGAATCACTTGATGAAGGTAGGTACCTGAAATGGCTCTCGGCATTTGGTAAAAGGGCTCTAGAAAATAAGCTAGGGTCTGGGCAGCAAAGTAGGCTTTACCTTAGGTTTATGTCAGGTTTATATTGTCAAGTGGTTTGTGAAGTGATAACATGAACAATCACCTGATAGATACTGTACTCCAGTTAGCTTGGGAAGAAACTTAAGGTTCAAGTCTTTAATGGATAGCGCTAGAAGCAGTCTACTTCATTCTTAAAAGGTAGAGTTTTAAGGTTTTCTCACCTTTTGGATGCCAATTTGGAGTTATTATTGCACAGCAGAGTTTGGCTGCCCAGTTATATATTAATAAGCATTCAGGTAGAACTCTGGAGCTGTGGTATAAACATTTCTGAGGTATATATTTTTTCTTGTGCTTTTCTCTAATATCTCAGAAGTGTATATTGTACTAGTGAGACATTAGGGTGGTAGCTTAATTGGCCTTGGTTGCCTGTGAAAGCAATACCATTTTGAAAGACAAAGTACTGTATAAGGATAATCAAACAAATTTTCTCCTTATGGCCCTCAGTTCCTAATAAAAGCGGTATTTTTCTGCCATATTCACATCTCAATCAAGGTTTCCCCAACATTTCCAAAATCCAAGCTATTGATACTAATTCCTTGATATATACATATTTTCACCTTCTAATGACTGACTTAGCCCATATATTTTAGAGTCCATTAATGATACAGCCCATTTTAATTCATCCCTGTCGGTGTTACTGACTCAACCCATCCTTTCATAGTCTGTTACTGACTCGACCCATTGTTTCATAGTCTGTTTCTGACTCAACCCATTGTTTCATAGTCTGTTACTGACTCAACCCATTGTTTCATAGTCTATTACTGACTCAACCCATTGTTTCATAGTCTGTTACTGACTTAACTCATCCTTTCATAGTTGGTCACTGACTCAACATATCCCGTTCATCGACTTTCTCTTTCCCATATACCTCTCACTGTCCCCTTCAGCATCCCTTTTATTAGTCAACATGTGCTCTACCTTTCCAAACCCTTCCAGTGTTCTCATTGCCTCTTTTCCACCGTTTCTCCATTTCACACCTAATGATATGCCTTCATTCCTTATCACATTCCTTAAGTGAGTGGTTGAAGGCAAGTGAAAGGAGAGTTTACCTCTTTGCTTCTGATTCTAGTCACCCAGAAGGTTTGAAGAAACAATCCTTCTTAGTTATAAACTTGCAGTAACTTTCAGTGGTCTCTCATGAATATTGTAAAAAGATCAGATAAAGGTGTATGAAGAATTTCCTTAAGTGTTCCCTCTGAAGGGTATTGTTAATGATAGTGGCTTACATTCACGTTGGAAGTGTAGAGATAGTTTGAAGTATAAATCTTGAGAGAGGATTCTACACATTTCTTGTGCTACTCCACTGTGAAGGTCAGATGAGGGGTACGTGATAAAAATCGTGATACAGGGTGCTAATTCCAGTATAATGAGGGTTCTCTCGGCAGCTAGAAAAATACAAAATAGAGAATGGGAATTTGGGAAACCAGAAAATATGAAAAGGAAAGGAAAAGTTACTCCTGAGTAAAAATTTTGTACCTACAATGAAAAGTGATACTGTATTGGGCACCTACAAACAGTGAATATGGTAAAAAAAATAACACTATTGGTTACAAGGAGAAAGTTGCTTTTTTCTTAACCTTGTACAGGATTTTTATTAGGTATTATTTTTAGGCAATTGAGACAGTCATCTACTTTCTCTTTTATCACATTTTGAAGTTGTTGGAGCCGAGTGCAATATATTGTTTATGTAACCATGAGTAATTAAATTGATGAGTATATAAGAAAATACAAATTTTATTTAAGCAAGTGTTTGAAAATTTTGAAAATAGAGTAACTGGTGTGACTTAAAAATAATATTACTGAAGCTCCTGGACTCTGAATGTTCTATGAATTAAGAAGTTATCTCGTCCACACTTGAGGATATACTGTAATCTAAAAGTTTTCATAAAAGAATTAATTGTTTAAAAAACTAATAAAGTACTACACTGTTACTTTGAAATATTTTTCCAAAGTTCTAACTGGAAATGCTATACCTTTTGTGAATGCAACACAAAATAGATTAAAGGGCCTTAGTTGGGTTATGTTAAGCAGTTTCTCTTTTGTTATACCTTTGTTATTGGGAGCATAAAATTAGCTCTTTTAAACCAAATAGTGGTCCTTCTGGCAGCTGTGGTCAAGGATTTGAACCTTCTTCAGATCTGTATTTTTTATCCTTTTTCTTCTTGTTAGTCCTTAAATAATTAATTAAAGCCTCATTTGTACAAATCCTTGTAAATTATTCTAATTCTCCTATTATAAAATTAAGATGAATTCCTTCAAAACAATTCAGTTTTATTATGTTGCAAATAAATCTTAAAATAAGCAGTTCTATATATTGAAATAAACATAACTAAACATTTATCACTGAAAAGCTGTTTATTTTATTATTGATTTTCAATTATGCAGAGATTATAGATATTGGATTTAGGGCATTCCCTTAGCCATACACTCTGAATTACTACTGTTAGTTAGGTTGTTTATGAATGCAATGCATTTTTATGTTTTATTATTAGCTTGCCGATGTATGAACTCCCCCAATATTGTTTATCTACTACTACAGTATTTTCTACTTCTTGACACACACACACACACACACACACACACACATCCACCCACCCACCCACCCACCCACCCACTTACACACCTCCCTCCATCCACTCACACACCTCCCTCCATCCACTCACACATCCATCCACACACATCCATCCACACATCCATCCACACACACATCCATCCACACACACACATCCATCCACACAGACACCCATCCACACACCCATCCACATCCACACACCCATCCACACACACACACCACACACACACACACACCATCCACACCCACCCCCATCCACACAAACACACACCCACACACCCACCCACCCCAACACACACCCACCCACCCCATCCACACACCACACACACACACACACACACACACACACATCCCCATCCACACACACATCCCCATCACACACATCCCCATCCACACACACACATCCACCCACCCACCCACCCACCCACCCACCCACCCACCCACCCACCCCCCCATCCACACAAACACACACCACCCCATCCACACACACACACACACCCCCATCCACACAAACACACACACACCCCCATCCACACACACACACACACACACCCACCCCATCACACACACCCACCCACCCATCCACACCCACCCACACCACACCCCCACACCCACACCCACCCACCCACCCCATCCACACACCCCACCCACCCCATCCACACACACACCCACCCACCCCATCCACACACACACACCCACCCACCCCATCCACACACACACACACCCACCCCATCCACACACACACACACCCACCCACCCACCCCACCCACCACACCACACCCACCCACCCCATCACACACCCACACCCACCCATCCACCCACCCACCCACCCCATCCACACACACCCACCCACCCACCCCATCCACACACACCCACCCACCCCATCCACACACACACACCCACCCACCCCATCCACACACACACCCACCCACCACCACCATACACACACACCATCTACACACACACACACACACACACACACACACACATACATACATACACACACACACACACACACCATCCACACACACACCATCCACACACAACACACCATCACACACACACACACACCCCAACCACACAAACACACACCCACCCCCATCCACACAAACACACCCACCCCATCCACACACACACACCCACCCACCCACCCATCCACACACACCACCCCATCCCATCCACACACACACACCCACCCCATCCCATCCACACACACACCCACCCCATCCCATCCACACACACACCCACCCCATCCCATCCACACACACACCCACCCCATCCCATCCACACACACCCCATCCCATCCACACACACACCCACCCCATCCACACACACACATCCCCATCCACACACATCCCCATCCACACACACACACACATCCACACACACACACCCACCCACCCACCCATCCACACACACACACCCACCCCATCCACACATCCATCCCACCCACCCACCCCATCCACACACCCACCCATCCCATCACACACACACACACATCCCCATCCACACACATCCCCATCCGCACACACACACACATCCACACACACACATCCACACACACACACACACACACCCACCCATCACACACACACACACACACCCACCCACCCATCCACACACACACACCCACCCACCCATCCACACACACACACACACCACCCATCCACACACACACCACCACCCATCACACACACACCCACCCACCCACCCATCCACACACACACACCCACCCCCATCCACACACCGCACACACCCATCCACACACACACCCATCCACCACACACACCCATCCACACACACACACCCATCACACACACGCACACACCCATCCACACACGCACACACCCATCACACACACACACACACACACACACACCCCCATCCGCCCATCCACACACCCACCCACCCATCACACACACCCACCCACCCATCCACCCACCCACCCATCACACACACCCACACACACACCCCCATCCACCACACACCCATCCACACACACACACCCCCATCCACGCACACACCCATCCATCCACGCACACACCCATCCATCCACGCACACACCCATCCACACCACACACACCCATCCACCCACACACCCACACACACACCCACACACACACACCCATCCACACGCACACACCCATCCACCCACACACACACACACCCATCCACCCACACACACACACCCATCCACCACAGCACACCCATCCACACATGCACACACACCCATCCACACTGCACACACCCATCCACACGCACACACATCCACACGCACACACCCCCATCCACACCACACACCCCCATCCACACGCACACACACCCATCCACACACACACACACACACATCCACACGCAGACACACCCATCCACACACACACACCCATCCACACGCACACACACACCCATCCACACACACACACACCCATCCCACACACACACACACCCATCCACATGCACACACACCCATCCACATGCACACACCCATCCACATGCACACACACACACACACACACACACACCACATGCACACATACCCATCCACATGCACACACATACACACACCCATCCACATACACACACACCCATCCACACACACACCCATCCACACACACACACACACACACACACACACACACACACACACACACACACACAAACTTTTTCTCCAGAGGGAGATTGGTGAGTACTATGATTGCCAGAGGTCCATTTTCTGCAGGAAATGGTGAAACAGTCAATCCATACAATTTCAAATGTTTGTCAAACCTTGCCCTTTCTCTCTGCTGCCTTGTCACCATATGAAAACCTCACAGTAACAGCCAAATGAGATATTCCTCAGAAATGGGTTCTTATTAAAGGTGGAGATTCTCCATTTTTTTTTGTAGAATTCAGTGGTCATACATGAATTCTTAAGTTTGAAATGTCCTTACAAGCAAAGTGTAGTGTATTATCATTGCAGATTATGCTTCTTCCTCCTAGAATTAAGAAAAGAGTTCTCGGTAATTTTGGGGGAGATGTCATTGATTCTTTGAACTTATAAGGATTAATATACAATCAATATAGAAATTTGTAACATTTTATCGTTGATTCTATTGTCAGTAGTAATTGTAGACTTCTAAGTGGCTTATATTAATTTTTCGGTGCTTTGAGAATTCAAGGATTATTGTCTTAATTTCCAAATGGAATATACCTCTCTCTCCATGTTGCTTGACCTCACTAGTTCCTCTGATTCATTGTTAAAGGTCAATTGATACAGATTTGTTTTATTGTGGAGGATTTGAAAGGAGTTTATATAGAGAATGACATGTACAATACATATAATATGTCTTATATTAGGATAGATTTGAACAGTACAGTACTTATATTTCCATTAAGTTTATGAGAATTTACTTTTGCTACAAGTAAACAAATTAGTGATATTTGTAGTGTTGTCATTAGTTCCCAAGAAATGTCAAATTTTGATGGCCTGGTTTAATATACTCATAAAAAGAAGAAATTATTCCAATGATAAATACTGTATCTTTGAACTCTCATTTAATGTAGTGATGCAGAGGAAAGATGGTACAGTTTGAAGTAGCTTTTAAATGACATTGTGGCATTTAATTGCTTTTTCTCTTCTTAATAAACAAGTTATGATGTCAAGCAACTGCAATATGGACCTCTTGGGCAGTTTTCAAAATGAATAAGATAAATTTTCTTGCATTGCAGACGGTTCTCTCTTCTCTCCTCTCTTTATCTTATATTTTTCTAATTACAAAGTTGAAAAAAGTCAGTGACGCATTATATGAGGTGCAAGGAAGTAATTAAGTTCAAAAGTCATGATGTTGATAATAAAGCCAATATGTGTAGCTTTTTTGGAGTACCTGTATGACATTTTTCACTGATTTGATTGCCTTAACAATTACTGTATCAGGTGAAATATGATAGTTTTTCCCTTTAAGCCTAACCAGATTTGTTATAATAAAGTTACAAAGGATGCATTGGATGAAAGCCTTAACTTACATTAAACGTTTCATGTAATTAAATCTGCTTACCATGCATAGATATGTTTTAACAATATATTTTTTCTAATTGTTATATTGGATAGTTTTGCATGATCTTAAAATAGTGAAAATTAAATAGTGATTATTAATACCTGTACTCTAGTTTCATGCAAATGGGGTGTTAGTAGTGAGGGTTTTGTATATACACATTTATATGTCCAACTTTTTCCAATCTTTCATATCCACTGTCTCTTACAAGGCAGTGGTGGATATTTCTTCAGACTTCTGCATGCCCCTCTTTCATAGGTGGAGGAAACGATCTGCAGTTGTTGACAAATATGCTATCCAATTAAACTTTTTCATAGATTTCTTTATATTCTGAATTAATAATTGTTTTATTTTTATTTTTCTTGAGACTGCCATATTAGTTCCCATGATTGGTGGCAACCCAGCAAGCCTGCTGTGTTAGCAATATTGGCACAATTATCTAATTGTTTAACCTCATGATTTTGGCTTCATGATGGCAGATAATGGAACTCTTCACATCTTAATGTCCTAAGTGTTTTACCAGTCTTTTCTACTTTCTTTTTTTCTCGTGAATGGTGAAGGGGAAGATGGTAAGACTTCATATTAGTGTCCAAAGGCTGTAGTATCACTGTAGAAAGTACTATGTGGCCTGTTACCTACCTACAGTAGTTAGTTTGAAATAGACTTGTCTTGTTTCATATTGTTAATGTCCAGTATTCTTAAACACCTAAAAGTTGTTGATAAAAAAAAAATCATTTTAAGCTTTGAATCCCATCAATTTGTCTTTGTGAATGTGTTGTCTTATGTGACAAGTTAGTTTGTGTACAGGCCAGCATAGTCAAGGAGAAACTAGCTAGATGTACCTTAGTATCTGATAGTGGCAAGATGGGTGGGACCTACCCTACTGTGCCAGCACTGCTGTACACTGTGTGATGTACTGGTGATGATGTGCCTGGCCGGCCCTGGGCTCCAGCCTGGCCTACACCACCAACTTCTCCCCACACTACTGCTGCACTCACTGTCTAGACCTAAAAAAAGCATTTGTATCAAACCTCTCACTCCTCACTGGTGTATTAAACTTGCACCATTGATGTGAGATCCCAGTAACAGTATTCTTTATGTATTATTTGTAAACTAAATATTGCTGGAAATATATAGATACATATAAAATTAGCATAATAGAAACCTCATATCCCATGAAATCAATTTTTAGGAACCAAGTATTGTAGTAAATATTTCAACCCTGTAGTTTGAAATTAAACAAATTAATAGCTATACAGTATAATATGCAATACCATATTATGGTATTGCATACTTTAATGCCTAGAATCTCCAAAGGAAATGTGAGCTCAGCAGTGATTATTCCACACATGCTGGCTGGTTCTTCTGTCACTGAGATGACAGTTTGTGATAGCACAATATTCCTGAAGGATAGTTGCTGGTGATTCTATCATAGAAGGTTTATCAGAGAACAGGTCATAAATTCCTTTGTGATGAACCACTGGCAACGGTTACTTTGGGGAATTGGTTTAGTTATCACAGGATTTGTTTATCTCATTGACTTACCCACTGTATTGGGCAGCTTGTGTAGGGGAGTAATTAAAGGTGATTATTTCAGGCCAGTTTTCATGACATGCAGCCATTTCTTTTGGCCTGTAAAAATGTCTCATTACAAATTTGTTTGTATTAAAGATCCATTGGAGTCATGTCCTATTCTTTGATTATATGTATCATAAACAACAACTTTAACCCTTAGGTAGTACATCAATAAGGCTAATTTTCTTGTATTATAAGATACAAAATTAGTCCATATTTTACACCACCTAAGATTGTTGTTTATGTTATAGCTAGATGCCATGTCTTGCCTGTATTGGGAATTTGACTTTTAGATTCTTGAGGTCATTGGGTGCTTGTATGGAATGATTGATGCATGCTGACTGGAAATGGCTGATTGTCAGGTTCTTACTTTTTTCTTTGGACTTGTCCTTAGGGGGACGAAGCACAAATATACCAATGCCGTTTTGGCCAAAAATTATGAAGCCTCGGGCGATAAGTAAATACTCTAATGCCTTTAATTTGGAAAACTGACCATCTGGCCAGGTGTGTGGGACAGGAGTACCTACACACTTGATGATAGCCAGCCAGTCAGTAATCAGAGTTAAGTCACAGGAGTAAATGCTTGTTGGTGATGAGGCTTCAGAATGATGATGTTGGTCTAGCAGCACTATGGTCTCTATACCAGTAATATCTTGGGTTTATTGTTAATTTCATTCGTATTGTCTCCAGTATCTTTTTTATCTAGTATTTCCTTTTTCTTTCCATTTCCTGTGGCTTGCGTGCACATAAAATCCAACAAAATCCTGCTTATCTTCTTGGACCTTAATACTTGTTGATACTGTTGTGGCAAACATTGCAAGCAACAACAGTGCTAATTGTGCCGGGTAAGTCGAGCACCAGGCATGGAGCCAAGTAAGGAGATTGCATGCCTGTCTGAAGTGCCTTAATAGCATTTTCTTTATTTTCGTGCATGCATGTTTTATTTTCTTTCGCGTTTTATTTTCAATAACTACTTTCCTTCATGACTGACTCCAATAGGTATTTTTATCCTAAAACAAGAAAAGAGGCTATCAGATTAACTGTTATTAGAATTGAGATTTTGAATGCTAATCACATCAGTTAACCAGCAATGCAGGTCGTGCTATGTTCAGAGCTAAGTTTGTGCTTGAAGTTGTGGTTACAAATGATGCTTTTCAAATTTAGTGGTGTAGGTGAAATGGCTAGCTGTGAGTGGCTGAACTGTTGAGAGTAACTTCAGTATGTAGGTCACTTATGGCTGGCAGTCCCAAACCAGACATTATTATTCAAGGTAATAATTGTAGATCTAGACTATGCTTGTGTCTGCTTTGTGACAAAACTAGTTATGCATTTAGATGGTCAAATTCATGTCAAGAGCAAACTTATTGATTTCCTGTATGTCATTTCAGTGTAAGTGGAAAAACTAAATGTTTTACTCCTCTTGATGGAAGAAATGAGTAAGTTGTGAAAAAGCCAATGCTGCCAATTTTTTGCCTGGGGAGAGGGATGTACTTAAGTGAGCCTTACACAGAAATTTCATAAAGACTCCTTTTCTCATGTATAACACCAAGAAAATGGGTCTTTGTCTTAGTGATACATCAGGCTCTTGAGTAGCTGATCATTGTAGTGGGATAATTAGCCATAGATGAAACTGCACTCTAGGACCCATAGATGCTGCTGTTCCTGGCTTCAATTGACAGGTTCATAATTCCCTGTCACTGGAGGAAGAGATTTCTTTGATCTGGTGTGAACGTTTTATGGTGATGAAAGAAATCTTTTCCAGTCGATTCATTGTCTCCACTATGATTGAAATGTGGCATTGACTTATGTGATGCCAGAATACTGTATGGGATGTTCACCTGTATGTGTTGTCTTGCTAGGAATGTTGTCAATATATGTTACGTCCTTATGATGGGATGACCATCAGTGTACAGCAAGCAATGGGAAGAGATTAAAAATCCAGTCATTTGGGGTAATAATGTGAATTTATTAATATAACTAGTTCATCTTTCATATGTAGAATTGTGCACTTTATGATATTGATTTAATTACTTTTAATTCTCAGTTAGTTTTCAGATGCCAATGTCTTAAGATATGAGGCCAAAAGTCCTTGTCACCATATAAGGGCTTGTACCTAATTCTGCGTTATAAATTACGTGTACATTCATTAGTTTTTGAAGTTTAAGCTGTAATTGGCTGGTTGTTCCTTATGTTTGCTTTGGGCGGGGGGCAGTTGATGAGATTTTTCAAAAATAGACTGGAATGTAATACTGATGTCTGCCCCTGATGACCAACAGAAAAAGGAGCCATGAGGAAGGAGGTTATTCGGAACAAGATTCGTGCCATTGGCAAAATGGCTCGTGTATTCTCAGTCTTAAGGTGAGTATTTTTTAATTAACTTGCATATATTTATTTCTAATATAAGTAAAAAAAAAAAGGCTTTATATTGGGCATGTCCATTGAAATTATTAAAGTTATAGAACTTCTCTTATTTACTACACACCCATGGAGATATACTGGAATTACATTTTTCTTTTTTTCGCATTACCGAGTTGAATATACTGTACATTTACCCATCTGATTATAACATTGCATATTGTTTTGTTTCACTCAAGTCTAGATCTAAATACTGTCTTGGTACAAGGATATACCGTCTTGGTACAAGGATAATTGTATACGGTAAAGCCTCGAATAATGACGGTAATGTGTCCTCCAATATTGCAGTGTAAGGTGAATCATCGTATCACAAATCATTAATTACCATTAAAGTAAAGCAATAATAATGAGATGAGTTCCCAAGTGTGACCTTTTCATATCTGAATGCACCTTATGCAATATAAATGAATAATAATATGGTCACACAAGAGGAGATGGGACGCCAATGTTTTCGTTTGTGTTTACAGCTGGGAGTCCGGGACGATACTTCTACACGAGAAAATTAAGAAAATAAGACCCTGGTTGTATCTGTAGTAAAATTAATGTAAAAAAAAGATTATATATGTTCTAAGTAATGGTATTTAATGTTAATAAATGGAACACTAGAAGTAGCTAACCTCTAATGGTAAAGAAATAAAGCTAGACGATTGGGAACTCCAACGTACGTACAGGTACATGTGAAAACATTTCGTCATTTCTCTACATACGAATATGAAAGCAACACTTATTTACTGTTCATATATGTTTTAAATAATATTTACGAATGTAAAACAAAAATTCTACTCATCAATGTGGTAAAGTCTAAAACATAAGGACAGCCAATGAATAATGTGCGAGTTTTTACTCAGATTGAATAAGTCATCAGGTTCAACTCTGGCTGAAGCTGTAGCTTTCCATAAAGCTGTTGCTGAAACTGTTACTGAAGTTGATGTTGAAGCTGCTTATGATGCTGAATTTAATGGTGTAGCTGAAGTTGATGGTTTAGGCCTTTGAATAATAAAGCTGTCGAAATAACCTTGCACAGCTGCTTTCTTTTCTCATTATACAGCTCCTCCCCGACTTACGACCTACTCGACTTACGACCACCGTGAGATACGACCGCCTCGGTCGTACCAAAATTTTGTCAAATTACGTATTTTCAAGTCCCAACGTCAGTGATTGCGCTGTGTACTGACAAAATTTTCGTTTGTAATTCACTTTAAAATGGCTGGCAAGCTTAAAAGGGAGAGTTTTGTGGTGCTGAGAAGAAAAAGAGACACCCATTTTAGATTTTCTATGTACCCTGTAGGTACTGTATTATTTTCGACTGTAGCATTTTCGACTTACGACCATTTCGACTTACGACCTGGATTTGGGTTCCTTACTCCGTCGTAAGTCGGGGAGGAGCTGTACATCTTTATGTAGAGGTCATTTGCGTTTATTTAAATTATTTTAATGCTTTGTTCTGTTAATGGATCCACTTAGAAAATATGTTCATTGTTTGTTCCATATAATATCCACACACCTCTCACCTTTTTCATATCGTTTTAACACATCTAGTTTCTCGGCTAAGCTTATACACTTTATATTAGCTTTTGAAACAACACTACCATCACTTGCTCTCTTTCTCATGTTGAACAAGGATGCAAAAATGCTGTAAGAAACCTGAGAAAGTTTTTCTCCTGTTCCTGTTCGGATGCTTGAAAACAAAAGGACCGCCAAACTCCGACTTTTGTTTACTGGCGATGCGCATTGCCACTCATAAGCCAGGCAGTTTCCTTGCGCAAGGCGCTCTTCTTTTTTTTTTATAGTAAAATTTTTTTTTAATACATATCAGGATTTAGTTATTTATATGAAAATGTAATTTTATTTTATTTTTTTATTATATTTTGGTCGTAAATACGAATGAAATAAGGATGTAAATTGAATTGGGTCCTAAATTTACTTGGGTTTTAAATGTGAAAAGTTGTTGGTCGAACTGTTGTTTTCTGAGGCTTTTCTGTACTGTATAGTACTGTACAGTCTTAATCCATGAAACTTGTGATATGTGAGCACAGTGTAGGGCTATAAGTAGGAAATGATTTTGATTTTGGGGATGCCATACATTCCAGAAATACATCAGAATCATTCGTATTGGGGATGTGTGTCAAATTTATTCACTGAAATTTCATTGTAGATTAAAAGGTAGCTAAATACTATAAAAGAAGACTAAAGAAGAGCAGATGAAAGGTGGGAGAAATGTTTTGACAAGTTTTATAAAGAACAAGAAGCTGATCTGAAGGAAGCTAAACAAGGTATGAAAGCAAAGAGAATAAATGATAATGGCAGTTAATGATGAAAAAATGAGCTGTGACAAACAATTTGATCTATTAATCTTTGTAACAAATGAGAGACAGAGCTATTTATGCCTGGGATGTAAAAGGGGAAAAATAAGTGAGGAGGAAATGAAACGAGCTTTAAGCAAACTTAAGATTAGTTAGGCATCTGTAGGACACGAAATAATTGTGGAAGTGTTAAGGTATTATACAGAAAATATATAAGCACATTAATTTTCCCCAATATTAAGGGAAAAGTGATTGGATTGAATGAAAAAAATATAGAGGAATAAGTCTTTTTTGTATAATGGGGAACTCATGGTAGTCAGTTTTGAGAGAATTTTTATAAAAACACTGCATTTTAGGGGAAGAGCTGTATGGGATCAGAAAATGAAAAGGATGTGTGGATCAAGTGCTTATGTTATGGAGCATGATTGAAAAGTTCTTGGAAAGAAAGAAGAATGAAGAGTGATTTGTTTATAGCAGTTATGGATAGAAGAAAACTAGATGTTAGTTGATAGAAAAGGCATATGGGGGGTATTAAGAATGGATAAAAGAATGGGAAAATGTTAAATACTGTTCAGTTTTTATAGGGAGAGTGAAACATATGTTAGAGAATGCTAGGAAGAGATAAACTGTTTCCCAGTGCAAAAACAAAATACTAAAAATATGTGTAATGTCATCAAGGTTGTTTAAAATGAGTATTTTCATGGATGGGGTAGTAAAAGAGGTGAAAGCATGAGGGCTGGAGGCAGGTGGAAATTCGGTGAACAGGGATACAAGATGCAAATGGGGGACGATTCCCATATTATTTGAAGCTTACACCAAGAGTCCGGTGCTATTTGCAGATAACACTGCTGTAGTAGGAAGATTGTGTATGTCAGGGATGTGTTCCAGAGAAATGCGACTTATTGTGAAATGTTTTATAATGAGGAATTTTTTTCCATAAGAATTAATGTAATTATGGGTACTGTATATGCATTCCAACATGTACAGTAATACCCCTTGAAAGTTCAGGATGTGTTTTTAGAGAGAAGGAGACCTTTCAGCAAATCATCTTCCAACATGGTCACTATAACATACTGTACTGTACTCTGCTCTGCTCTACTGTACTGTACTCTGCTCTGCTCTACTGTTCTGTAATGTAATGTAATGTAATGTAATGTACTGGACATGGAGGTACATCCCTAACAACATTATTTGTTACCTATGAGTGGTACATGATGGCTCAATTTGGCTACTTGTACAGTAAGACTACTGACTAATAAATATACCAGGGTATATGCAGGTGCATAATTGAATATAATGATATTTATTAAGTTCTGATAAATACATTACAATATTATTTAATCAGTGCTGAAGACAGACGGCGAGGGATGGTGTGGGCAATCAGCTGTTTACCCCAAGTAAACAAAAGAGCTGGTAATTTAATACTATGCAATAACTCATCTAGGGTCAAGTGTGATTTTTTTCAGGAAAATTTATTATTTTAGGATAATGTTTTATTAACCCGGTACCAAATGAATCTAAATGATGTGGGAATTGTGGTGAAATTGCCCCCACATCCAGACGTAGTTTCGTATTTTTTTCACTCCATTTCTTTACATGCAAACCTTCCATTGTATAAGAACTGAATAAGGTTTTCAAAACACATGAAAAAATTACTAAAATACTGTAACTTTGGTACATTACTTTATGGGAGGGCATAACACATTTACCCACACTGGATGCGTGGGAGGTTCGGTCTGTCCCTGGTGATTGCAAGGCTAAGCATTTGAATGTGTTACATCGCCCAGAGGATGGTTTGTGTGTGGAAGAAGCTATTCTATGTACATAAAATAATATATACTGTACCAGGTTTATGTATATTGCATGTTATGTTATGCTATGTTATGTTATGGGTATGAATCATGGCCTGTGGATGAAAGAGGAAGGAGTAAAATAAATTTGAAAAAATTAACATCCTTGAGAACAGTATATGAGGTATATAGGATGTAAGAAGAAAGAAATACAGATTTGAGAAGTGGAAGTGAATGAAGTGTTAGGCAGAGAGCAAATCTGGGTTTGCTTAGATAATATGGACATATTTACAGAAAACGATGTGAAAGATTAATAATTAGACTAAGTGTAGTGTGAATGGTAGTAGGGAGAGGAAGATGAAGAAGTAGATTGAAAGCTAGGATGAAGGAAGCATTAAAAGTGACATTGGGGATGGACATCCAAGAATCAGTAAGGTTAAACCAAATATGTGGGTTTATTGCAGAAGGTGAATACCAGTATTGTACACCACAACACACATTTAATTGAAGGTTAAGGAATGAAGAAAAAATTTGTGTGTGCATGCTTGTCATAAGTTGCTGACAAAATGTTGTTATTCATTGTCATTTTCTCAAACAAAAAATGCTATCTTCGTGTTGTCTAGAATGTTGTCTTTAATTTTCATTTATTCTTTTAATGTTTCTTTATAGAGAGGAGAGTGAAAGCGTACTGCAGCTGAAGGGTCTTACCCCAACTGGAGCTCTTCCACTTGGAGCTTTGTCAGGAGGAAAAGCATCATTGAAGAATGGTAAGTTTAATCATGACAAGAAAACATTTTTGTGATATCAAGCTCTTATGTGTTGTCCAAGTGTGTTTGGTATTTTACATTAATGGCATTTTAAAGGGTAATGCATAATAGCAAGAAACAAATCAAACATAGAAATGATATCAAGAAATTTAAATACAAAATTAAAGTAACCATTTGCATGTTGCGCATTTTCTTAGCCAGACCTTGCTTCATATGCAGTAGAGTTCTGGTCACTTCAGAAGGATATTAACAGGCTATAGAGGTTACAGTGACATCAGACCAAACTTGTTTTTAGTTTAAGTAATACATCACATGAAGTTGGGCTAGCAAATTAAACTTGTTTTCATTAGATAAGTGAAGATGTCTAAGAGATATGATTGATATGTGTAAAATCCTCAGCAGAGTAGAAAATGTAAATAGACGAGTGTTTTTTCATTTAATTTCTTACGTATCACAACACCAGAAGAAATAGCTTCATGTTAGTACTGTAGTATATAATTTTTTCTACACAGAAGATACTTTTTTCCCACAAATTATGTTGTAGAAGAGTGAAATTAGCTGTCATCAGCAGTACTTCCTTCAATGTATTTAAAGCAAAGATTGATAGATAAATTCTTTAGGGCATGAAATTTGTTAAATATTAATCCTTTTGCTGCAAGAGGCAAAACTAATTACAGTCTCTCCCCGACTTACGACTGGGTTAGGGACCCAATTCCAGGTCGTAAGTCAAATTGGTCGTAAGTCGAAAATGCGAAAATAATGCAGTGAACCCTCACTTTACGCGGTCAATTGAACCCACAGAGGCCCGTGTAAAGCGAGAAACGCGTTAAGTGAACAACATAACATATGGGATTAAATGAAATAGAGACCGGCTGACCCCCAAACTCCACTTTTTCTGACACAATACCTATGTTCTAGTAAAAATAACATCTTAATTTTATGATGGTACATGCACACAATTAATACTTAAGAGAAATAGAGAAATACAGTCACCAAGTTAATGTCCATTCAAATAATGGACTCCACTCCCTCCCCCTCTTCTCACACTCCTGGCTCTTCCCTCTCTGAGAAATGTTTGGGGGAAAACCACTAGATTTTAAGGTATAGTAATAAATAATACCTCAAATTAAAGTTAGGATGATATAATTGACATTGCTGGATTCCTTGTAAGACCAGGAATATTTTGAATATAAATGTCATATATTTTGCACAAAAGATAACACATTTACTCAGAGTAAATAAAATACTTAAAGTAGATCGAAAATTTGTATGTCTAATGCAAAATCTATGATGTTTATATTCAAAATGATCATCAAATTGTAAGAATTCCAGCAATGTAAATTATATTCTGGCCGGATAATTTGTATGAATTTTATGAGCTAAATAAAAAAATTATACTTCACCCGCGTATATGAGTAGATGCACTGCGTAAAGTGGGAATTCCGGTTCTGGCTGGGTACCGCGTAAATGTAAATGTAGAAACGCGTAAAGTGAAACCGCGTAAAGCGAGGGTTCACTGTACATAGAAAATCTAAAATGGGTGTCTCTTTTTTCTTCTCAGCACCACAAAACTCTCACTTTTAAGCATGCCAGCCATTTTAAATGGAATTACAAACGAAAATTTTGTCAGTACACAGTGCAATCACTAACGTCGGGACTCGAAAATACGTAATTTGAAAATTTTTTGGTACGACTGGGGCGGTCGTATGTCCGGGTGGTCGTAAGTCGGGTAGGTCGTAAGTCGAAGAGTGGCTGTGTATTACTTCAGAAAAATTGAAGAAATACAGTATTAACTGTTCAGTTTTACCACTATAGAGTGTGTTCTCCTGAGTAACCGTATACAGTCGACGCTCGTTAATTCGGACCCCTTTAATCCGGATTTCGGATAATTCGGACAAAATCTGAACGAATTTTTTTTTTTTTTTTTTTTAGATTTGTAGGAATATTACCTACGCGGACCTTAAGCTAAAATGCTGGTCCACCCACTGCTGGGATAAAACACCAGCGTCTTTTTGGTTAAATGTAACATCTCCACCACTAGTGTGGGGGGGGGATGCAACTTTTAGCTTCAGACATGAAAAATATTTACCATTTACTGCCAGTAAACAATGGAAACGTAAAATATGTACCAATTAGTAATGAAAAGTTGTGCAGTTCCTTCAGCAAATGAAGCTCACCAACTTACAATAGGCTAAATTACCTTACAACGTGTTTTCAGTAGTCTATGTTGAAGTTCTTAGCACAGGCTAACTTATCATATCATATACGGTATCACAGTTCTCATTAATCTATAAAAAATACCGGTAATAAAAACCTTTTTCATATTTCACACTTGATATAATACCCGGTAATCTACTTCAACCTCCTATTGTTTACAACGACGCATGACGCACCACCAGCTGTTGAGTATCAGTTAGACGGTACACGTGTTTATCGAATCGTTTTCAGTTATAAAACTGTTAATCACATGTATATTTTACCTTAACTGTGCCTGAACGATTATATTCTCGGAAATAAATAGTAGTTTTGCTGAAACGTGATGTATTTTAATGTAAAATAGGATAAAATACATGACGAAAACAAAAGATTTTACCTAACCTTCCAATGTTCAAGAGAAGTTACTCATTTTTTAATAGTTTTTGGTTAAAATACTGTTATATTACAATGGTATTCTATTCATACTGTGTTTGATATAATGCATTCACGGAAATGTAATATTTTTGCTGAAATGACGTAGGTATTATAGTGGAAAGTGGGATAAAATCGTGACGAAAACAATGACTTTCGCTTTCTTTCGTTCAAAAGATGTTGCCGTAATCGCTTTTCGATTGGTTTTCAGTTAAAAAAACTGTTGTATTACAATAATATCCTATCCTAATTGACTTGAATAAATACTACGATACATTATTTCTGAATATTTTCATTAAAATCCATCCAAATCATTTTCCTTGTCATCGTCTGCAGCACCAAACAGCTTCTCCCAGTCCTCTCCTTGAACAGGGCTAGAGGGTACATGTTTTTCGAATCGTTTTCAGTTAAGAAACTGTTACATCACACGTATATTTTACCTAAATTGCGCCTGAATTAATATATTCTCGGAAATAAATAGTAGTTTTTCTGAAAAGTGATGTATTTCAATGTAAAATTGGATAAAATACATGACGAAAACAAAAGACTTTACCTAAGCTTCCGATGTTCTTGAGATGTTATTCGTTTTTTTAGAAGTTTTCGGTTAAAATACTGTTATATTACAATAGTATTCTATTCATACTGTGCTTGATATAATACATTCACGGAAATGTAATATTTTTGCTGAAATTACTTACGTATTACAGTGGAAAGTGGGATAAAATCGTGACGAAAACAATGACTTTGAAATATAATGCAATATTAACCCTTAAATCGGTTAATTCAGACAATCGGCTAAAACGGACACCCTTCCCCCCCTATTAGTCCGAATTAACGAGGGTCGACTGTACCTGTAGTACTGATTTTTAAGGTGACCCGAAATTTTCAGTTTTAAATTAAGTTACAGTGGGGTATGCTATAACGAACGGATCCTACTACGAATATTCCTATAACGAACGGTTTTACCTATAAAATTGAGAATGCTATAACGAACGCAACTCCTACAACGAACGCGGATGAATACAGGACTATTTCGTTTGACGCATGAATATTTTTGTACAGCGGCTCACAACAAGAGCATCAGGCGCCATCTTTTTCTCATTGTGTAGCCAGTGCACCAGTTATTGTTGAAATTTCGTCTTTTGATGTGGAAATTTGTGTTATTTGTATAACTATCTTGTTATACAAGTATACAATTGTAACAATGAATCGTCCAAAGCGAGTGAGAAAGCTAATAACCCTTGAAACTAAGAAAGAAATCATAAAGAAACGTGAGAATGGAACAAGCATTGCGAAACTTAGTGATGAATATGGGATGGCTAAATCAACTATATGTACGATTTTGAAGAATAAAGAGGAATTGAAAACTGTGCAAGTGGCTAAGGGAATCTTTAGACTTAGCAAAGCAAGGTGTAATGTGATTGAAGAGATGGAAAATTTACTCTTAGTGTGGATAAAGGAGAAAGAAATGGCAGGTGATAGCATTAGTGAAGCTATAATTAGTGAGAAGGCCAGACAACTGTTTGAGGACCTTAAAGCCAAGACTCCCAGTGGAAGTGATAGTGCTGTGCCAGTGTTTAGGGGTACCTGCATGCTGAACAACACTAATGAAAGATAAAGTACCGTATTTTTTACATTTTCCACAGAAATTTTTCAGTGTTAAGTGGTTGTATTTGGGGGCCTGGGACGGATTAATCCAATAACGAACGAATGCTATAACGAACGAGGTTCTAGAACCAATTGGATTCGTTATAGCATACCCCACTGTATAGGCTATCGTCTCCGTATAAGATGATGAGCTTTAGTCATATGGTGTAAATTGTCACCATGGGTGACCATCGCACTCCTAAACTTGTAGACAAGATATTGTCAATTGTCTGCTGGAATGTGTAACTAATGTGATTATGCTACTTTATTGGAAACGCTTAAGTTTTTTTTACCCATGATAATTAAATCTACAGTTATACTTCTAAAACGCAAATTGCTTGGGATCAAGCAGTGTTTGAATTCCAGAAATATTCAGATTTTGGATTCCTAAATACAGTACTTAATTTAGAAATAACATTTAACCTATACACATGCATGAAAGTTACCCAAAATACCATTATTCTCTTAATTCCTTAAATACAATATTGTGGAAAGTAAAGTCATTGTTTACCTTTAATCTTCATCAATTATAATATGTATCTACAAAAGCAACAGTACAATACCGGTAAAAAAAAAAAAAATACAAATGCAGCAACACAGCACATTAATCAGAAAGTACCTCGGGTGATGCCTGTGCTGTTATCTTGTGAAATGTGGGCGAATCTTTCACTTGTCAGCAGATCGCATGTCCTATGCTAGGGCTCAGTGTCATAAATCCAACAGGC